ATCCATCACAATCCAATATATGATTAATATAATATATATAAATAAATATAATAAATAAATGAATGAATAAATAAAAATGTACATATATAAATAAATGAATAAATAAATATAAATACATGATCATAATTAAAATAATACACTGGTTAAGATAAAATGTGTTTGGAAATGGCCACAACAATGAAAACTATATACACCGGTTATAAAAAAGAATCACAACATTTACACTGCCATCCACCACCGCATTAGGCATTTATACAAAATAAGCTTATAACTCATCATGGGCGGGGGCCAGCAGCTTCTAGAGTGGCGTGTTCGATTATAAATCATTAAATGTCCTCTTCAATAAGACCTAGGTTTTAGCCAAAATTCAATACAATAGATATTTCGTCACCACCACGAGTGTTTTGTTTTTCCATGAAAGTCGACTTTCATTCATTTCTAATCTATTTTTATGTGCTCATTTTATTTTTTATTGTTGGACCATATTTCTTGAAATTCAACCCCCCCCCCCCCCAATGTGAATCATATCCATTCACTAATATGAAGAAGTAGACATTCGAATGGATGGAGTTATTGGAGTAAGGGTTGCTATAAATCATATGATCCAACGTTACTTTCTCTCAAATGGTTTGTGACAGATTATTTTGGGAAAAACCACAACAAATAGCATCAATGCTATTATGACAGAGTGTTGTAATGACTTGGACTCGAGACTCGGGACTCCAATCGACTCAAGTATCCAACCTCAAATGACTTGACTTGGATTCGCTTCACTTTTTCAAATGACTTGACTTGGATTCGAATCACTGTCAGAAATTACTCGACTTAACTCTGACTCGAGTCTGCCAAAACAGATTTTTTTTTAAGATAACAATTTAAACTTAGCTTGAACGAAGTTACTGCAGTGACAACTTGACTTGACCCGACTTCACCAACATGCCTGTGTTGATTTGATTTGACTAGGGATTTGAAGGTACATGAACATGTACATGAGTTTGACTTGACTTGGCACTCGAAGGCAGTTCAACTGGACTTAACTTGAGACTCAAGCAGAGGGAGACTTGTTCTAAAATTGTTATGACATGGAAGAAAAATAGGCAATAAAGATTGAAAAATTGCTTCAATGACACTTGTGTCTGGAAAAGCAAAAATCCATTCAGTCAAAAGGAACAACTGATGGGCACATGTTGGTCAAAGAACAAGATACAACGGTGATTTTGTCCAGAAGTGTAACATTATCATCTCTGGAAATGACAAAATCCATGGGAATTGTGCTGTGGAGGATGGTATATTTCTGGCGCAGATGTCCTATAACTCGCTCCACATGAATTCTGGAGTTTGCTACTCTGCGCGTGTTTTCAACTTGCTCTCCAGATAGTCGTGGCCCATCTCTTCTAAATGCAGGGAGTACAAGCTTAGCACCCATCATTCCAACGCTGTCTGAAACATCAAATCCCCTGTCTGCCATCACAACATCCCCTGGACACAACTTGTGGAGGAAAGATGAATGTTCAACCACGTATTTGTCGCTTGCTCTTCCACCCCAGCCTTGTGATAAATAAGATATGACTCCTTGAGGGGTGATGCCGATTAAGTATTTAACAGTGTTGTTGTGTTTGTACGAAGACCATGTTGACGTTCGTGCTGCAAGATTGGACGGCCTTTCTAAAAATATTTCGAAGCAATCGATAATAACAGTTATCTGTTTGCCAAAGTGTGTCCTGAAACTCATGGGCATAGTTTCCCACAGCTGTTCCCGATCAGGCCAAAATATGAGTGGCTTCAGTCTGATATACATGATGTTAATAATGTTCAAAAATGTTTTAGATGCTGTAGACTTATGCACATTAAACCTCTGCCCAAGGTCCACATATGTAGGATTCAGTCGGAGTTTTATGAGGCACAACACTAGCTGCTGAAATTTTGTTAACTTGTTCAAACAGCTGCACACAACGAATGTTTCTAGGTACGTAAACAGAACATCCAAAATGGCAAAGCTTGACAATCCTGTGAAATGCTTCACATTTTCATCATTATCTTGGAAGAACTGCCGATCAAAATTATTGTTACTCTCAGCCAGCTGCTCTTTCAATTTTCGGTTTTCCTCTAACAATCGCTGTAATTCCGTTTGTGTGGAATTCATGGAGTTGCTATCCAAGTCAGTTTGGCAGGCCTCTTCGGAAGTGGACTGTTGTCGTTTGGGGGTCTTGGGAACTGAATGAAGCTGGAGAAGAGCCTCGGCGGCATCCAATTTGGACTTCTGTCCCTGCCTGTAGCAGCGTCTTTGGTACCTCTCCAAGTCTCGAGTGGCAGTTGCACCATCTATGTTGCTGTGACCAAGCTTGACAGTTGGTGCCCAGTCTGGATTGGTATTATCATACAATGCAGAGGGCTTTCCTACAGGGAATAAAATACAAAATAAGTTAACAAATTGTTCATTCAAATAACATTATAGTGGGTGGACCCCTATTGATCACAAAAAAAGGGTTGGTTCCATAATCCTTTGTTTTTTACTCCCAACTGCACATACGTAACAATGCGCCTTGTTTTTCTTTCGTGACCTTTGACAATGCATGTGCTACTACGTTCACACAAAGGCTTTTTGTGTGCATCTCATCTAGGCGCTTGCGTCAAGCAGGTCTGATATCGCGCACTCTGCATGTGTCCTGCACTGCTCCCTGTAGGATGCCATCTTGATGTTGATCACCGTTGTCAGGCATTGTGGGTATTGTCAAAGGTCACGACAGAAAAGCAATGTGAGCAGTTAGGGGTTACGTATGCGGTTACAAAAAGGGCTAATGTACAAGAAATTGGCAGAGAAAATGAGCGTTGATTTTCATATAATATCCATTATCCAAGCACTATCTCAGAATCTCAGAATGTTGACTGGACATCGCTGCTAGGCATCATCATCCAACTATGGATTTACAATCTTGTTGAAGTGCAGGCTTGATGAAAAAAAAAAAAATTAGCGAGGAAAAATATTGCAAAGAATTCCATACCCAGCCACTTCCATGCACAAAACCTACACTTACGGGACATGCCAATGTTTCCTAAGAAAATCTGGCAAAAATCTGAGCGCGGTTTGCTCACAGTCACAGGTACACTTAAACTTTAAATTTGTGTCAAAATCCCCATCCTGGGGCATGAAAAACATAACGAAAACCCCAAATAAGGGTCGGGATAGTGCAAGGAGGTGGAGAGGGCCAGGGGAACATTAAGTCCATGGAGTACCACAGAATAAAAGATTTTTCATAAATTTCAAAGAAAAACTTTAAATTTTCTCACTCCTGTAACTGTAGTGTAATATTAATAATATTATTAAAATAATCATTTTTAGGAAAGAATTCCATATACAGACTCCTCCTCAGACCTTCTGCACAAACTGTATGGGCCATGACAGAAAAAAGTCAAGGTGTTTTCTGACAAAAAATCTTGATTCAGTTTTCCCTCCTAAATTTGCGTTTCTTCATCAGATTTACAACTTTGGGTACTTAATTTCAAGTCATATTTAGGAAAAATAAGAGGAGTCCGTATACGGAATTCCTTTTACTCAAATAACTCACCGCTTGTAAAATGGTCCGAGCAGACCCGTACATACGGCAAGTTGCTCTCTTTAATGTCTCGGGCGATTTGCGACAGCCATTTAGCGCGTCTGCTCTGGGAGAGTTCCAGAGTGGCAGCTCCTTCTCGGGTCAAAACGGCGGGCAGCCGAAAAAAAGATTTTTTGTCCCGATCCCCCCTGTTGCTGCAGCCAATAATTGCGCAAAAATTCACCATTTCTATGTCTTACACTGCTTGGAAACATAGAAAATGTCGAAACAGCAACCAACTGACAAAAGTGTGTACGCTGCGCTACGCTACCGTCACGTACGAACGTGGGTACGGGTACTTGTTTTGTGTGCGTTTTGTTGTTGTTATGTTGTAATCCAACATGGCCGACCAACAAAACAATGACGTCACCCTCGCGCCCTCTATAGCTGAATAGTTGCAGCTTCAGAAGCCAGTCAGGTGATGTCTATTTTAGGAATCCGACTGATTAACAGCCTGGAAGCGCGCCAAGCTGTCATTACACTGCAGATTTTCATTGTCCGCTGCCAAACAGACTTAAGCCCACAGGATCAAAGCTAATAATAAAAAATATAAAAATAGTAATAATACAAACAAATATCGCAGTCTCACATGCCTTGCTGCTCCACAAACAAGTGAACAATGACAGTGTCTGGCCAGTGCACTTTGGGGCCTACTCCGAGGTGTAGGTGGGGTATTTGCTGAAAACCTTTTTTTGAAAAAAACCTGATTTACTTAAACGAATCAATATGATTTTCGTTTTTACCGAAAAAAGACGGTAATCAAAGCTAGTGACTTATTTTTGGTTTTAAGACTATAGAGACACACAAAAAAAACTTCTTCTTTTCTTTACGGTATTGCTGACTGATGCATAATAATCATCATCCTCTGTTATAGGTTTTGCCCCCCTTCAAGAGAAATTGTCGTATATTTCATGTCCCTTTCTTTTAATGGACTGGACGAAAACATTGTCAAAGTTCCTGGAATCATTCTTAATTTCTAAGCTCTGGCAGGAACTTCTACATGTCACTTGGTGGTCGGCCTGCTGGCTGTCCCAAAACTTTACCAAAATGTATGTTCCATAATACCGTTTTTCGGCGTCGCATTTTTCATCTGTGACAAGGATCATTTCGATCTCATGCAAGACTTGAATGCACGACTACTTGCAACACGGACAGAGCTTATTGCGCACTCGCACTTGTTCAAATCCATGCAACAGGCTGAATATCAGACGCAGACAACTTGAATTACTTGCTATGTCATAAATCACTGAGATTATTGTTGCATTTTGTTTGATGAGTTCCGAATATGACAGGATATGACTACTTGTAGTACTCAATGAGATATAAAAGAATAGAAACGAAACTGAAACTAGTATGTTACTCTGATGTCAGTCGAAATAAATCATTTTCTTTTTATTGCATATTTAGTGCCTTGACGCCGACGACTTATTTTCTATTCTCGGCGTGCAAACCAGCGATGGCCTCGACGAGGAGAACTTCAACCGCGCATGCGTCGTGCTCCTGTACTACGTGAACGACCTGGAGGCGACATGTGCAAATGCGACGCTGTCTGCGCAGGTGTACGACTATTTCGCGCGGGAAATTCAAACGAGATTGGACAGCACGCCTCGTCTGTCGGAGGAAGAACTGGAAGCTGTTTTAGGTGCGGTGGCAGGGAGCTACAAGGCCAACAACTTTGCCAAGGTATCTCTTTTTTCTCCCTCTTAATGACGACATGTTGTTAAGCTTGACACATTACTAACAGGTACGACAATATAGACCTTTATCATGCTGCCACCATTTCAGTCATGTTCCCTGTATCCAATAACAGTGAATGATAATGTTTTTTTTGTGCAACAAGAGACCAGACTATTTTTCTTTCCAGCCTCGCTTTGGTTACGTTGCTTTGAATTATAAATGGAACAATCAAGATGGCCGGAACATGACAATGTTCTTAAGTCCAAAATGCTGGCACATTGTGTGGTTTTTACTCATCATGAACTTCAAGCTTCACCTCTCACAAAGGCATTGGTTCTCACAGCCACTTCGCGATGTTTAGTCTGATTTAAGTGATTTTCCATAAACTCAAAGAGAACAAGTTTGTCACGTTGTCTTTGGTGTATTTTTCTTCGCAGTGTTTCACGGTAGAAACCGTATTCGAGGCAGCCGTATCCGATCACGAAGCTGGAGCGGACGACCACGAGCTCGAAGAAGTGGCCGCCATTTTGATTTCCAGCCTCGTCCGCGGATTCTGCATCGGCAACGCTACCGCCGTGGACCCAGAGGCTTTCCTGGAGGACATATTCGATCACTACGCCGCGGGTAGTTACATGAGTGAAGAGGGTAAGGCGTTTTCTACTGAAAATTTGAATATCATGAATATTCAAACAGTCTCATTATCCTGAGCGATTAGGCCTAACTGTAATCCCAATTGGGATTTTCTGTGTAAACTACGAAAATGGGCCTGGATCAACTTCCCATGAATTCAAAGACTGAAACAATATCGATTTTGTCCCTGGTACGGTTCAACATTAAGTTAAATTTCGTTTTGTGGATGTAACGACAAATGACAACGAACAGAGCAAACTGTTCGAAACGTCTTGTTAAACCAACTGGTTCTTCTCGGAACCATAAAACTCCACAAAGAGGTGTCATTCACATGCTGCAATCCTCCCATTCATTGATCATGTCCACCATGCAAACCCTTAAGTCTCAAGTTAACGAATAAACGGTCAGATTTGTATTTTGAATAGGGCCTAATGGTTGACTGATTTGTTTTGTTTTTACAGAATTTCAAGTGATTTTAGACAAATTGTCAGCCGGAAGCCAAGAGGACACCCATGACAACCATGACCACGCACGCAGGCGCAGAGGAGCTGACTCCAACGTTCTGGCGGGAAAAACTGAACAACGACGACGCAGACGAAATGTAGAAACCGTCACCGACAGCGGCCATGACCACGACCACGACCACGCCCACGAAGGGGAAATGAATTTGGATATACATTCGGTGAGTAGATTGTTACATACTTTGAGTGAGTTAATGGGCGGGGCTTATGATAAAACCTGGAATGTTCCATTTTATATCTAGGTATAAACTACATTGACCAAGAGCCAGGGGTAATTTATTTATCAATTGCAGTTGCATTAACAAATACCAAGGTTCACACACATTCCCAACCCAATAGAAGTGGGTTTGGCTTTCATTGAAACTAGTCATCCTTTACGCCAAATCCAGTGTAGTTTCGTTTTTAAAAAAAAGCTATTCATGTTTTACCCTCTGCAAGTTTTTCCTCATAAAAACTCAGTAGACCGATTAATCCTTGCCTAACCCGATCATAAACATAAAAATGCATTGGGTCTTTTAGTCTTTTATAGTTGCCATTCCATGTAACAAACATAACACTGCAAATATATTGAGAGCTACATCGTTTGGTGAGTTAGAATATGTGAATATTTTTATGAACAGAAATTCATCCGCTTCCAGTGGAACCATTTGTATGAACTTGAACCCAAAAACATCCTTTCGGGTTTTATAAGTTTCATTATACTTCAGTATATTTCATCATAGTGCATCCAGAATCCAACATTTTCCGGGGCCTTAAAGCGAGCCCCTGGCCCTGTGGCCCCACGCCGTAAGGGCTCGGGAAAAAACAACATACACGCCGGAATTTACTAAATGTAAGAAAGCAACCTTGCAACAATAGTCTTTACATGCAATGTCATGCATAATGATACAATTCTTTTTCCAGAACTAAATGGAACCAAAAATGGAGATAAAAATACAGGGTTCTCCACTTTTCAGTACAGTTAAACGCTTTAAGAGCAACAGTATATTCTAAACATAACAACTTTCTTTAAAATCTCAAAAAACTTTTACTAAAAAAGTCAAATGAAAGTGGCTAGGAATCGCCTCAGATTGCACCACAGAGCATCTATATTCCAAATTGAGCCACGGCGTAAGGGTTTTGCGCTCCGCTTTTGTATTAATTGTGTCCGTCCTTCAGAAATTCCAGCACCCCCTGGCAAAAGTTTGTTCCAGCGGCAGTGGCCTAAGGTGGATGCTGTTGCTAAGCAAACACCTACATTAGCGTGATTAAATGTTCGAATATGCTGTTCAAAGTACTCAGACATCTCCTCTGAATGCTGCTCGTCTATTGATGTGCAATCATTTAATAAGGTAATAAAACGTAAACATGCAGGCCTGTATTCTTCGCAGTGCTGCGCATCGTTGAGTACGACATCCAACAGCCGCCGGGTCAGTAATACGTATGTTCTGCGTACCCAGTCCACTTGATTGACCCGACGGCTGTTGCATTTCCTTATCACTGCTTATGTGACGTCACTTATCTGCGCCTGGTATCCAAGTCCACCGCCAGGTAACCATAAGACTAGCCAATTCAAGTTCCGCAATGTGTAACCTTTCCAAAAATATCCACTTAACACTTGGTCATTTCAAAAATGTAAATGACCCTTGGCTCTTGCTCTATTTCTGTTCCATAGTGTTTCTCCGTTGATGAGCTTTTTGAGATCTTCGATGTCAATCACAGTGTGGGCGTGACACGTCAGCAATTCAAGGAGCTAAGCCCCGCCCTCATTCAGCAGAAGATCGGCGATGCGTGCGCCGAACCAGAGAATGTGCCGTCAAGACCCACCGCTGCTGAAGGTACGTCAAACAGGATTGGCTGATTGTCTGCGTGACGTCATTTTCCTGTGAAAGCTAATTACCATATTCATGATTACATTGTTAAATGTCGAATAATCATTCAATATTTTTCAGTTCAGGATCCATTTAGTTTTAATACATAAACATGGTGTTCGCTTGATAATTTGAATCAATAATTTTCAAAATACTTAGAAAGAATCAATAATTCTCCGAATACTTTGAAAGACATTTCGGCTTAGGCTTTTCACATTTCGAACATTAAGGTTCATCAATGATTTGGTATGTTAAATTGCATGAAGTGTTTTTTTTTCACGAGAAGTTGCGAAACCTAAAGTTGTGTTAGTATTATTGCAACATGTCTTTTCGTGGATAGTCAAGATCTGTTTTCCATTTTTGGATACTTCCATGAAAGTCGTCATTTGATGATTGTGTTTTTATTCCTCTGGTAGTTTGGGGATATGGCGTACTAGCCGTGTTCATCATCAGCCTTTGTGCCGTAGCCGGCGTGGCTTTCCTTCCATGTCTTAACACGGCCCTCTACTTGAAGGTCTTACAAACCATGATGGCTCTGGCTGTGGCTACCTTGATAGGCGATGCGGTGATCCATCTCATCCCACAGGTAAGGCCGTGTCCGAAACGCGCTTCCAGAGCTACGGCTACGTCTATTGTCAGCGCGTCCCCGCGTATTTTCAATGGGCGCAGACCTAGACATAGCTCTAGACAACTGATTCAGATGCAGCCTTAACATTACAATCCATATGTATTGTGTGGCGGTGTAGCATGAACTTAGATTTTATGACATACGGACTCATTGGTGGTATTGCGCATGCTCATGCATAGATAATTAATAGAGGGACCGGTCACGTGAAAGGGTTTAACCAATAAAAGGGAAAAAGAGTCCGATTTTCATAGAGTCCGATTTTCATATGACAGCGTCTTGTCTTTCTAAATCTTTCTAAATGTATAGAGACATAACAATCTATCAAAGACATATAGGGTCATTTGCATTAATTCCCCAAAGTAACTATAACTGTATTATCCAAAAACTTAATACTTGATTTCAAGATCATACTGGTACTAAACACCCCGTGAAATTATTTAGTCTGGCTTGCTTTCATTTGGAAGAAATCAAGAAATGTAGGTGATTTCTACACTGCAAAAACTGGAGTGTTACATTTACACCATTGGTATATATATAGGACCATCTGGTGTTAAATTTTACTGGTGTTTTCCTATATAGATACCGAATGGTGTTAAATTAACACTACAGTTTTTGCAGTGTAACGATCAGTTATACACTGACTGATTTTGGGAAATAAAGAGTGCTGTGGACAACATCGTGTGTCGTTATCAAAAGGCTGTGGTTTTTTAGTCACGGTTTTGTCGCAAAGTGTAATATCCACTGAGATGAAACTTCAACGGGTTCAGTTTTGAACATTCTTGAAAAAACAAATGTTTGAAAATTAATTGAGCCTGTACGGTGAGTAAAAACAACGAAACCCGAATGTCGGGACCATTGTTTTGGCCTAAGTAAAGTTCTTCAAAATCCAGGATATGAAAGCCCAATTCATAAGCTTTCTTTAAGTACAAGAATCATTCAAATCACTCGTGTAATTTTCAAGTTACGGAATTTTAAACACGACCACCGTTTAAAGTTCTGTCTAAGGATCACAAAAAAGGTAAGTGTTCTTTCAGCATAACGAAAACAAATCACATAGGGATGTGTGTGAATTGTTTTCGTTTTGCTGAAGAGCGCACACTTTTTTGTGATCCGTGGACAGAACTTTAAAACGGTGGTTGTGTTTAAAATTCCGTAACTTGAAAAGTACATGAGTGATTTGAATGATTCTTGTACTAAAAGAAAGCTTATGTATTGGGCTTTCATATCCTAGATTTTGAAAGTGCTATATGCAGAACTTCACTTAAACAATGGTCCCGACATTTTGGTTTCGTTTTTTACTTACCTTGCTTTGGACGAATATTGGTTTTTATCTACAGGCTGTGGGGCTCCATGCTCACGACGCAACATCGTCTGCTGACGCGCACGTGGCAGGGTCAGCTGAGTTGGCCTACATCTGGAAGTGCCTGGTAGTCGTGGGTGCTATCTACATCTTCTTCCTGTTCGAGTCTCTCATGCAGATATTTGGTGTGAGTACATAGGGCCTTGAATAATAGAGGACAATATGATCCACGATTTTGATGAATATCCACGGTTGGAAATCGTGTACAAAACCAATGCAGCCTTTCCCCACTCTTCAAGCGTTAGGCCTAAACAACATTTTTTTTTGCGCCATGCAAGTTTCCTTATATCATTGTTAGTTCTTTGCCGACGGGACCCAACGTTCCAGGCAATATTTTGTTTATAGAGAGGTCACGGAGGAATAAGTCAATTCCCGATGTCAATTGTTTTTAAACTGTTTACATTGGCTGAATAAAAGTCTTAACTCCGGGAGTGAGGCGTAGCGGTACTTTCCTAGCTTTCCACCGCTGTGATCTGGGTTCGATTCCTGCCTCAGGCCAATATAAGTTGTTGTTTTTCAGTCCCTGCCTGATTCCTTGGGTTTTCCTAAGAACATTCTCATGGGATTTTCCTCCCACATCTAAAACTTTAATTTCTTCACATTGTCTTCTCTTTACTGGGCCCCCTGGGATAGCAGTGGATTCCACTGAATGGGCTACCCAGTTAAAACAATGAATGAATAATTTTTGTTTTAAATAGAAAATCTGAACTGACTCGCTCGGACTGACTGACTGACTGACTGACTGAAAGAGTCACAGAAAATAATGCCCTTAACGCAGTTTGTTCGTGTTCAACAAGTTGAACATGCAAAAGCATGAGTCTTGGTTTCAAACGCCTCGAGACGAAGCACTCCGAATGGTAAATCTCATTGTTGTTCCTCAGGGAGGACACTCGCACTCCGTGGAGCCTGATGATGATCCCACCAAGAGAAAGAGAGCTTCCAGTATGAAACTCAAGGAAGCTGTGGACGGCTCCTTCATGAATCGTTCATCATCCACCACACAGCTTGAGATGTCTAACGGTAACTTGACAGACGCAGAGGCTAACGACAGTCATGGGCATGAGCACGGACAGAAGCAGAAAGTCTGCTTTGGTAAGATACCAGGGGCCAATTTGGCTCAGCACAGAAAATATCTGCTGAGCAAAGATAGGTTACCAGCCAAAATGTCATGGGATGTATATTGCCTGTTGCTGGTGCTCAGCAGATTTTTGTTTAGCTTGTGAATTTGTTCAGCATTTTTTCTTCTTGAGCACACTTCGACTGACAAAGATCTTTAAAAAAAATGTAGTCTTATACTTCTTGGTGTCAGTGATTTCCTTTACGTTGAGTTCAAAGGTGCCGTTAGTGTAAGACTTAATAAAAGTCTCTTGTGGTGACTTTGTAAAATCACAGAGTAGGTGCATCATAAAAATTGAAGACATTGGGAACTGCCAACCACTAGTGCTAGATAGCTCAGCCTGGTAGATCACCGGAACTGCAGAGGTCGCAGGTTAAAACCCCGCTCAGTTAATTGCTTAGCTCAACTTTTATGAAAATAGTTGCTTAATTGATACAATCTCTGATTGTTTTATTTTTATTTATTGTTTGATTTTACCAGGGTAGCCCCATCAGTTATCTAAGAACTATTCTCCCTGGGGGCCCTGGATTTAAACATTAAAACAATACAAATTACAGGACATTAAAAACTAGTTAGTTATTAAAAAAAACATACATTGATTTTAAAATTAATATTAGAAGATACTACACAAAGTGTAAATTATATATTATAAGGAAAGATATGAATTCCAATTACAGATTAATAAAAAAAAACTCCAGAAAGAAACATACATACATACATATGCAAAGTAAGTCCCCATGAATACAATGAGAGACTTGTAGTTTTAATAATAAAACCATAATTCATAGAAAACAGTACCACTCTAAACACTTACAGTACTTAAAAAAAGTATAAGTGCATTTGAGATGCCCAGTATAAACATTAATTTTTCAAGTGGACAGATTTTTGGCCATCTAATTGGTCTCAGTTTTCAATTGGGTTCCATGCTTTTGTCCCAGTGAAACTGGATGCATGACATGTTTGCCTGCGCCAGTGCGTGGTCGAGGTAGCCGAACTATCTGCCATTCGGGAATGGGTATTCTACCGTTTGTGATCTCATACACTGATCTCTATATAAAGACTGGATAGCGGATATGCATACAACATTCACACAGTAGACTTTGCATAATGACCAATTCGCCCCCGGTCTCACGAAGATGGCCGCATATAATACGAACGTTCTACGCGTAAATACGCGCGCGTTGTATCAACAGTTGACGCGCGTTTTGGTCACGTACACATATTATGATGTTCTAAAAGGAACACATTTCCGTAGTGATAATTATTTCAAAAACGCTGAAAAAGTGATTTGCGGCATTATAAAAGTAACCACTACGTTGGAAAAATTGTAGTAAACCTTAGTCAGTGGTGGTGGCCAAAATGTAAATCAAGTGAGCCGCGACGTTACAAAAGAAATCAAGCTGTCTATAAAGACTGCAATTTGTCCTTTGTAGATCACCAGCCGGTCTCACCAATATGGCGTCAAATTCGTACATTGTGCGGCTCTTTATTAGCTATCCAGTCTTTATATAGAGATCAGTGATCTCATACCATCTCTCATTCTGCCCATTCAGGAATGGGAACCCTACCGTTTATGATTCTCATTGGAGACGGTCTGCATAATCTGGGTGATGGTCTGGCGATTGGTGCTGCCTTTGCTACCAGTTTGGGCGCCGGACTCTCTACAAGCATCGCCGTCCTGTGTCACGAATTGCCCCACGAACTTGGTAGGTTTTTCCGCTGCAATTTATTTGTCAAAAAGTCTATAGAACGCATCTTAAAATGCCCTCTCATTTGTTGTTGATTTTCTCGAGTCAATGGTCTTTTTGTAACTACTTCAAATTTATTTAGAGCCTACTCTATGAGAAATATCAATTGACAGTGAATGCATGCTTCTTGATTTATTGCATTCAAGGGTCGAACCAAGAAAATCCACGAAAATTGGAATGAAATCATGAATGAGAATAGATCAATCAATCAGACCCGCCCACTTCGCACCTGAGCAAAATACAACTGATCAGTGCGCTTCTTAAGCCACACTGCATGTTCCAGACGCGCGCGTCATACGCAGTACTAGGTGCACGCGCATTAGACTTTGTTAATGGCTGTCAAAACATCAGGGGTGTGGCCTAATGGATCGGTCCATTTCATCACTCATTCACAGGTGACTTCGCTGTCCTTCTGAATGCTGGGCTGAGTTTTCGCAAAGCCCTCTGCTTCAACTTCCTATCTGCATGTATGGCATTCGTTGGCCTATGTATCGGCATCCCGTTGGCTGCCAATGAGGAAGCACGAGAGTGGATATTTGCTGTTGCTGCCGGGATGTTCTTGTATGTTGCTCTGGTGGATATGGTAAGTGAAAAAAACACCCGTCACATTTTAATGGACTGTTCCGGATTTGGCCATTAGCTCCGCCCAGGGCTCCGCCCACCTTTTGTTTTTGTACATGCATTTCTTGCAGTAGTTTTGGCTGTGTTTGACCGAGCGATCATGGTCACCTGACCAAAAGTAGTGATCTGATTGGTCAGTGCACACTATGTGATTGACAGACAGGAAAGATTTCATTATAAAGCCCTTTTCCAGAGCTCATCTTCTAAAGAGGAAAAGCAGTTGCTGATTTTATTTTATCTGGACAATTTTGTCTTTTATTTGCAGCTTCCTGAACTCATTCACCACGAGAACAAAAACAAAGCGGCCATCTTTCTGCTACACAATGTAGGCTTCTTGGCTGGTGCCGCAATCATCCTTCTCATTGCCTTGTATGAAGACAGCATCAATATCATTATAAACTAGCAACAAGAGGTTCGCTGGTACCCGGCATGCTGCCGATCGTAAATATTGCTTGGTCACATTATCTTTTAAAGGAAAGGATGTTTTTGCAGTACTTGTCGGGTATATTTGTATTCGAATTTTAACTTTTACCCAGTTATGATAGTTTTAGTTTCATTTCATTTAAAAATAGATGACGAATTGTGTAAGTGATGGGGTTGGTAATGCATTTTATGTTTGTTTTAATACCATTCTTAATTTTAGTCTTCGTTTCTCTTTTATTTCCCATTTATTTTTTTTCTCTCAAAATGTGTAAGTTGGACATGGACACTTTCCGTTAATATTGGCATAAGGTATTCGTATATTTTGCTATATAGGCTACATTTATGTATTTGAGCCCTTTCATGCAAAATGCATTGCAATATAGGTCAACAAGCTGGTATAATTATAGGACTGCTTTAGTAAACGGCTAAAAATGAAGTAGCATTACTGAGGTATAATTAGCGAGGAAAGTATTTATCTAGAATATTTCTTTGAACGTAGAACCTTTGACGTATGACGTCCGCTCAAAAAAAGCTTTAACATTATAAACATTTATTTTCAAATATCGGTGATATATAGCTTTTTATGTCGTTAGAAATTAACGCGTTAAGCATATATTTTTTCCCTTACTCGTTTGGTTGTGTGAATGGACATTTTCGTGCTTTTCACATTTCCGTTTTTTTTTTTACATACATGTACATGGACATTTTATATAATGGCAAGATTATCCCACCAAGAATTGCTGTTGTTGATGTTAATCGATAAAGTTTTCAGAGATTTGACATTAATGTATCTACAAGGTTACGCAAAGAATGTCACTTTTGACGTCTGAGCTGTATATGATGCGTTTATGCGAGTTCGTAGGTATAGTCACTGCAGTGTGTGACAATGCACAGCTGTGCGATGTTTTTTTAAAAATAATATCATCGCTCTTTTATATTGGGGTGAATTGAAATTACACAGGGGGGGGGGGGCTTGGAACATTTCCAGCGAGGGGGGGGGGGGGATCATTTTAAATCTTTGGAAAGGGCTCCTAAAATATTTGGTGTTTCTCAATCCGGTTCGTAAGTGACTGCATCATCATACACGCGCACGCACATACACGTTTCTTTATATGGTGTAAATCGAAGATCATCTTTTGTTACTATTCCCTTTTCCTTTGTTTGTACTCTAACTTTTTCGCAACAGCTCTCAATGTTTTTGTACACGCTTTCTATTCGAGGTTGTCCTCGATTTGGTTCCTGTCCTTGATTCACCGATGATGTTGCACGTGTGTATGTGTCCTCGATTTACACCACAAACAAACGCCCATTGGCTAGAACCACTCGCGAGGAACCCATTTTGGTCGTGTTCCCTGAATGTATTTTATAATTTTTGAACTGTTGGGATGGTGCCAGACTATTTATGCATTCCAGCTTCACTTCATTATTTTTTTTTCTGAATGTGGCTTCAACTTTAAACATTAGGTATGATCGTACCCATGGAAATGAGGTTGATTCCAATGCTCTTTGTGAAGAGGGTGTGGTTTAAACTGAAGTCACTTCAATGGACCGATCCAGTAAGCCCCGCCCACTGCGCACGTGGGCAAATTACCACGTGCTCCTCTCCAATGCCACGCTGCATTCTCCTGCCGCGTGCATCATACGCGCGTGCACGCATTATGTCGGACTTATGTGCACGCACGTCGGACATAATCACGGCTGTGATTGGTCAGTACACCATGGGGCGGTGCTTACTGGATCGGTCCATTCACGCTTCTGATATAGATTTGAAGATTTTTTATTTTTAACATTATTATTAATTGCATATATGCTGCGCATTTTATATTACCCAGAGCACATTCCTAAATTAATGGTTCACATGCACGATTTACATTAAAAGACTTTAATATTTTGTCTCGTTGAAAAAAAGAAGAAAAAAAGAAAAAAAATTTAAATAAAACTTAATTTACCTTTCTCATTTTATAAGCGTAAAATTACTTATCTCAAGAAGATGTATGCAGCATGCAAATCTGTGAAAGATTCGATAAAAGCTGAACAACTTTTGAACTTAAACACTCTCGGATTTAAAAATTCAATACCGTACGGAAAATTCAGAGAGAAAAAAATTAATTGCTCCTTTAGTCTTTTGAGATTATCATGTTTGTACTTAAAAAAAATAATTTTGTTGAACTACAAAAAAGTGGTCAATTTATTTGAATGTTAATATTGAGAAATTTGGTAGAAATTTGGTGCTCCATAAGTATACAATTTCCATGTTTGAGCATAAGTAACTTAAATCTTATTGACAAAAAAAAATCGCTCTGGCAAAGTTCAGTGATATTGACTTATTGAGAGATACATTTGAATAAAAAAAATTGCTGTAAATACATGTACAAGCATCAAATCTAGTCCATTATTCCCGCAAGACTCTGATAAGCCAAGTGAATTTCGATGGTGTGCATTTTAATTCTTGCACTGGCATTTATCCTCTGTACTGGCACACGCCCCCTCTCTCCGAACTAGCCACGCCCTCCTACCACTGCCAGTTTTAGATAGACGGGATCCAATCTCTGTGTCGATCTTTAACGCAAGAAACGTCATGCGTGGGTCTGGATTTCCATTTGTCTGCTACCGTTTTTGAAACTCCGGGTTCGAGTTTGTCTACAGTGGCGCTATTCGAAGTGAAAAAGCTCTCAAAATTTGAAGCCCTTGTTCCTTCCTCCATGGATGTACAAGTGTGTATTTTTATACCTGCATGAAGGGGTCCACGTTTAGAAGTGCGCAGAACTTACACCCTGACCCCCACCAAAACATCTTAAAGATGTTCCGAGTTTACACAGAAGCCTTAAATTGAGAATGGCTGTAACCCGGAAGTCATTGTCGACCCACAGCAACACATCGCACACTACATACATGACAATATTACACAACTCAGTCATCAACAGTCGGTGAATTTTTCACTCTCATCTTCGTGAATATTTCTGTAAGGTTTGCTTTGATTCATTCTTTTGTTGATTTGAATCTCTTTTTATGCAATTGTCGGATTGAGCAACATTTCCAATTTATAATTGTATTTGTAAGGAAACACCGCAAATTTTAATCGAAGTCAGTGGCTATCGTTACGGCAGTCGTTGTTTAGCGCCCTCTACGATACTTTTTTGATACACACGCAGGTATATAATTGTTTCCCCACGTTTTAACGAGCAGTGCGACAGCTCAGTCGATAGAGGGTAGGATTTTGCACCACGAGGTTGTGGGTCTGCATCTCAGTTTTGCATACTCCTAGAACTATGAGGCTCCACGTACGTGGAGCCTCATAGTTCTAGGAGTGAACTAGCCCAGGGAAGAAGTGCAAAACTTACTCCTAGAACTATGAGGCTCCACGTGGAGCCTCATAGTTCTAGGAGTAAGTTTTGCACTCGAATTTTTTTCCTTTTCTAACCTGAGGCTTTGGAGGATTTTTTTTTAAAAGGGAAATAATTAAAGTCAGAATTTAATAACATTCAAATTCACTTTTTTTCCTTCTAATTTTATATTTTCTTCTCATGTTTTTATAAAAGTTGCACTACCGTAACGATAGAAAATGGGAAATGTGTTACGGCTGCTGTAACGATAGCCGCTGCGAATTTTAATTACTATTAGACTCACTCTCCATACAACCGCTGAAGTGCCGTCGGGACTACATTCTTTCTGTTGTTAGATGCCCGCCTTCTTTTCTTTTTTTAAATTCATACATTTGCAATATATTTTGCAAATGTTGTCAAAAGACCTATATGTATTGTATTTTTATTTGTTACACCAAATTGTAGCTATGTCTTCTTCTTCTTCATTCATTCATTTTCATGATGACTTGATGAGTTGGGCCCAACTCTCCTTGTCGAGCATAGTGTTGGTATACAAATATAACATGGTTAGAGGGTGGACAGTCGATATTGGCTCCCCGAGGTATTGGAAGTTGACAAACTAGTTCCCGAGGCGAAGCCGAGGGAACTAGTTTGTCAACTTGCAATACCGATGGGAGCTAATATCGACTGTCCACCCGAAATAAACCATGTTATATTTGTTTTACTATACCTCATACATATTCAGTTGACGATTTTTTTTTTATATATGCACCTAAAAAAAAATTCGGGGAAACTTGTACATCTCACCAAAAGAATATTTTGGTTGCTCAACTTCAATTACTAGTTCGGTTCGTTTGCAATATAATACAGTTACTACAGTTGTAAATACAGTTGTTTGTGTACAACTTTCTTTTGTAAACTTTCTCCAGTACGGCATCATTGAGCTCTGGAAATTAACATTTACGCGAACCGTGCAACCATGCATGGCGCTCCCTCCTGGGCGATGTTTGCGCGTGCGTACTGCACCCGTGCGACAGTTCCTCGATTGCTCTGTAAAGCGCATGCGTAGTAGACTGTCGCACGGGTAACCCATGCGACAGTCTACTACGCACGCGTATTTACCCTGTGCGTGAATCCTCGCGCGCGCGTTTGGTAAACAGCAAGAATAACATCTGGCACGTGATGGTGAATTGACCAGTGAGAGTTCGGCTCTCGATCATGAATATGTATGAGGTATAGTAAAAAGAGATGGACCACTCAGACCAGTTTCTAGCTCGATGGATGTTTTCAGGGTCATGTTGGGACGACCTTTTCGTCGAGGGGCTTCAGGATTCCAGAGGAGAACTTGACTAGCTGGCTCATTATGTTGATAAACGTGACCGGCTAGCCGAAGGCGAAGCTGTCTGATGGTGGTGGAGATAGGGGGAAGGGCACCATAGAGAACAGAGTTAGGGAGATGTTGTTGCCAAGAAACGTTCTGTACAGCCCGCAACATCCGTGTATAGGTGCCATCAATGGATGCAGAGATCTGTTTGGTCAGGGTCCAGGACTCGCAACCGTAGCTATGTGGAAAGAATAATAATGGCTCTTTTGGACACAATTTTGAATCGGCAAAAGAGTCAAGAAAATGGAAGAATCCATCCGCCATCTTGAAAAATCTGGCATCTTGGGGAAAAAAGGGGCTGCCTCCAATTTTTGTTTTTAAAACCTGGACAAGAAACTATTTTTTTTTACTCGGCCTAAAAATTTATTTTTCAATTTTATTATTATTTTTCTGCAATATATATATATCAGGTAAAGTTCTAAAAGGACCAGTTCAGCAAGAATAGATCCCTAGTTGCTATGGCAACTGAAGACAAGGATGAGACAAGGTCTCAGTGCACACCCAGGGATCTCCTGCTCATCGCCAAGGATTCCTCTGATATGGTCATGATGCCGACTAGAGCTTACGATGAAGTCTACCCAAAAATCTTCATTAGTGAAAAGTAAGAAGAGGGCCAAATCAATTGTACAAAATCACAAGTAAATCATAAGTCAATCACAAGCCAATCGCAAGCCAATTGTAAGTCAATCGCAAGTACATCACATTGTCACAAGCTAATCACAAGTCAATCATAAGTCAATCACATGTGAATCATAAGTCAATCACATGCCAATCACAAGTCAATCACAAGTCAATCACAAGTCAATCACAAATCAATCACAAGTCAATCACAGGTCAATCACAGGTCAATCACAAGTCAATCACAGGTCAATCACAGGTCAATTATAAGTCAGTCACAGGTCAATCACAAGTCAATCACAAGTCAATCACAAGTCAATTACAAGTCAATCACAGGTCAATCACATGTTAACCAGAAGCCAGTCACAAGTCAAATCACAAATTTGATTTTTCTTTACAGGAGTTTTGCCCTGAATAAAGATGCCCTCAAGAAAGTTGGAATCACGCACATCCTGAACACAGCGCAGGGTGTAGGGTTCGGCCATGTAGACACAGATGAGGAATATTACAAGGTAGGGATCAAGGGCGGATCCAGAAATGTTACTACCGGGGGGGGGGGGGGGGGGGGGCAGAAGGGCTCTCTCAAGTGAAAAATGGCCTTATTTCAGATAATCTCAGTTTCTGCTGGCCAGTGCTGGGGGGGAGGGGGCATCCCAGCCCCCTTGGAATCGTCACTGGGGATCTCAGTGAGTCGTCTTAAAACTTTCGCATGCTACAGACTGACAGTTCAAGAAGTTATGTTGTACTCCTGACCAAAAGAAATTGGTATTGAAGAACAATGTTATTACTCAAACAAATATATTCTCCATGGTTCAAAGCCTTGATTCGAATAGACTAAAACAAAGATACTTTTCATGCGACTCGGCTTGTTCAGAGTTGAACTTTTCCTTTCTTTTGCATTTTCAGGACACGGGAATGACATTCCAGGCCATCAAGGCGACAGACACCCCTAGATTCAACATGTCGCCCTTCCTGCATGATACGGCAGAGATTATAGAAAATGCTCTGCAAAATAAAGGTAGGTAACAGGTTGCATGGAGGTTGAAATGCCATCAGAAGTCAAATCATAAATCATTCTTAGTGCTGCCTTCATACCTTAAAGGGAATATACAACATTTGCAAACATTGAAAAATAAAACTACCTAGTTTTTACGAAATACCTTACTAAAATGTTGGTAAATGACAGTCTAATTTTTCAACTACTGCTACAACTTTACACTTTTTTCAGTCCAAATTTTGTTTGCTATTGGTTACATGTTCATGAACGGGTGCAGGCCAGCTAGACTGGTTCCCTTATCTTACAATTTTCCGGCATCTATGAATTGATCCATTTTATCTTTAGTGGAGTCAAGGAACCAGACTACTTGAACATTTTTGTTTTTCTTGGTTTTTCTAGCATTTTCGAACACAAAACTTCAAACATGTCAGTTTAACAATATTTGATCTATTATACTTACCCCTCAAATAGTTCATCTCTGAAAATTACAAATGAAAAAAACTCATTTAACTTCTTTGTAAATTGTTTCTATCTCCATTTACAGGCACTATTCTAGTTCACTGCGTGGAGGGTTTCAGTCGTTCAGCGACCGTTGTCGTTGCATTCCTGATGATCAAACGAGGCATGGACGCTCGCGATGCACTCCGGACCGTCCGGGCCAAACGAGAAGTCTGCCCAAACAACGCTTTCTTGAAACAACTTTGTGAACTGAACGCAAAACTGTTTGAAGAAGGGTCTTGAACTTTTAAGGCCAAAAAAAAAAAGTCTTCGGTTTCTGGTATGCGCGCGCGTCGCCATAGCCATGCGCGTCGGCAAAATGAATTTTTTTTTTCAATGAAAGATAATGTCTCAAAACCGCCAAACTCACTGGTCTGACTGGAATCCTGCTGCTACACAATTTTAACGTATTTTTAGATGGGGTTATGATCGAGAATAAGCTTTATGTGGCCTCTCTGGACTCCCATTTGCACTAAGTTTAGTTGGGCACCATTTGCAGTCATCAGCCGACATTGCATTTGAAGCAAAAAAATCAGGTAAAAAAAAAAAAAAAAGCTGCATCGCCGCACCACTTTTTGGGCAAGCTCCATACCAGAAACCGGAGACTTTTTTTTTTGCCTAAGTATTGACATTTAATTTTTTGGAACTTTAACTGTTGTTTTATATTTTGTATTGTTTTTACTGCCAAAATAAAAATGAAATGAAGCCGTAAAGCCATATGCAATAATAAAATAGAATAATAAAAAGGCAGTTATAGGATTCTATCACAGACTTGGGTTAAACTTGCACAATTATTGACATCATTTTGCAATAAACAGAAGTGTTATATTTTGTTACCCTAAGGCCAAAAAAAAAAAGTCTCCGGTTTCTGGTATGGAGCTTGTCCAAAAAGTGGTGCGGCGATGCGGCTTTTTTTTTTTTACCTGACTTTTTTGCTTCAAATGTCGGCTGATGACTGCAAATGGTGCCCGACTAAACTTAGTGCAAATATATGGGAGTCCAGAGAGGCCACATAAAGCTTATTCTCGATCATAACCCCATCTAAAAACACGTTAAAATTGTGCAGCAGCAGGATTCCAGTCAAACCAGTGAGTTTGGCGGTTTTGAGACATCATCTTTCATTGGAAAAAAAACCTGTTTCATTTTGCCGACGCGCATGGCTACGGCGGCGCGCGCGCATACCAGAAACCGGAGACATTTTTTTTTGGCCTAAGGTATTTTGTTTGTCCTATGTAACCAAGAGGTAAAGCAACAATTATGCAATAACTAATACGGGTGATTCACAATGCAGTGCACCACCAAGAGTTTGCCACGGAGAGTGGCATTGTGGGAGATGGTCGACAAAGTTCGCAGCGCGGGACATTTTAAATTGTTAGTTTTTTCCGGTCAGTAATTTTAGTAAGCGTATGATTCAAGGATCTGTTTGCCCTTTTCTTTTCTTCTTATCAATATGGTGTTTTCTGTAAGGCGGCAGAATGCTATGCTCCAATCTATAACATATTAGCTCAAGTGTCTTTCGAGTTCTGACACTCATTCAAATGGACCATGATCTTGTCGACCGTAAAGCTGGAAAATGGACTCTCTATGGCAAACTCTTGGTGGCGCACTGCATTGTGAATTGCCCGAATTATTTTCATATTGTAGATGTAACTTTTATGAACAATTAGTTCTGTACAGTATGCATTTGGAAATGTTTTATGTGCAATTAGTGCTGGATATGCTTTATGGATATGTTATTAAAGACAACTACTAAAAAAGGAGACTGTTGTTTCATAAATTCTTCAGTTGCCATTGTGAAATTTGTTTTGGGGTGTATCATTACAATTTAAACATTTTACAAACTACAAAGTGACATTTTCTAGTAATTGAAACTTCTCAAGTGAAAAAGTTCCTCCACCCCCATCCCCCCTTTGTAAGATCACCAGTTGCCTTCTCCCCCCCCCCCCCCCGATTGTAAGATCATTAGTTGACTTTTGCTCCATTCACAGCCTTAGTTCTTAAAATAAACTTTTTATACCAATCTTCCTTTTTTTTCTCAGCTTGACAATTAATACCTTCTCATGCATGAATGAAAAAATTGTCACCTGTTAACTTGGTATAGCGCCACCACTTGGTTAATTTTCAACAGATAATTTATTTATTAATGTGCGCATGCGCCAAGACGCATTCCTCTAGTTACAAGATGGCGGGTTACATGACAGTTAAACGCCGGGATTTTCTGCGTATAATTGCTAGCAATTTGTGAAGAAACACCGATTGTCTCCGGTAAGTACATTTGTAGATATTTATGATTTATATGGTTGTTTGTTTGAATTTGTGCCTGGTTGTTTGTCCATGCATAATATTTGATTTCTTTCCGATCAAATTTCGCTCGGCCGGGCCGCCGTCGATCCAACATCTGAACATTCGATTCAGCGAGAGCAGCCCAGCGCGCGCTGTGCCAGTCACGTCAGTGCGGCTGGCCAGGGCAGCCGTCGATCTGCGGTCTTCTGATGAGAGTGTGGGCTTTGGACATGTGTTCACATAAGAAAAGCAGATGTCCGAAGCAGAAAAAAAAAAAAACAGTGTTGTAATCAAAAGTCAATCTTTTTGCTTTTAACATGTTTAACATGTCATTAACAAAGCTAAACTAAATGTTTTTATTTTAATTTAAAATTAACAAATCTAAAAAGATAAAATTAAACATATACCATAGCTATCGTTATGACATCCATAACGTGACTTTCAACTGCCATCTTTGAGGAACTGTCTGGTTCCCAGATGGGAAAGAATTCCATTGCCATACAAGGATGTCACTAATTTTTCCCTGAAGCGAAGTATCAGTATCACTTAGCCCCATAAATGTGGCCAATTTACTGGACTACCTCTGTAAATAAAGGCCACACTTCCACCATGTGCAAAAACATGTTGAACTTTGTCAAATTTTGATTTTCACATGTAGTTTGTAGTTTATTTTTGCTTTAGAAGCATAATTGGCCACTACGTTAAAAATAAAATTGATCTGCAAGTTTATTTAAATGTGCAGAGCTGAACAAGTTTTGGTTATGTTTTGATAAATGTGTTTTTACATATAGGCCTATGCTGATCTTTTTAATCAGTTTAGATTATTATCTTTATGAAATGCGCTTTACTTTACGAAATGCGCTTTACTTAGAAAATCCCTGGTTTGCATTTTTTTTTCAAATGGCAAATTATGAATTTTACCAATGTAAAATTATGAATGTTACCAAATGCAAAGCATGTTTTAAAACAGTATAGGCCTAATTAATGAAGCTACCAGATTTTTATTTTCTGTGTTCACTGGTGAAATATACGTGCAGTAATACTGTATTTCTTTCTGAGAAAGGTGGCAAGGGGCCCAAACAAAAATTGCATTTCCTGTTGATTTTCCTGTAAAATAATGTCAGTAATAATAACACTAACTTTACTTACTCTGGCTGTTCTACAGAATGGTTTGCCCTCAATTCAAAATTCAGTTTTAATCCAGAGAGTTAAATTTGTTACATGTGAAAATGTCTGTTCTTAAAACAATTTAAAAAAAATGAATCATAGAAAACATAATATACATGTAGATGGCTGCAGCATATGTTTTAATTGAACATATCAAAAGTCTATTGACTGTACAGCTGTGCATAAACAAGACCATCAAATGAAACAGATAATATTGGATGGCTTTGAGGGGGATACAAGAATATATTGCACAAGTTATAACACTCAACTCGTGCAATATTGTTATGTTATACAAGTAGCGAGTGCAATATATAATATCCCCCAAATGAAAAAGCCATCCAATACTATTATTATTTGTAAGGCCAACTTGATCCGCAATAAATAAATTTCAGGACATTGTCTTTATTTCTCAAATTTTGTTGAATATTCTTTGTTAACCGAAACAAAATTTGCACCGCTCGAAGCCGCGATTGTGGTTGTTGACAACAGTGCGCTCTGTTGACTGGTTGACAACTGTGAATTTCTACGCTCTGGATTGTGCGGGAACCAGCAATATTGCAGTCATCAGGGTACTTTTGACGAAAGCATACAGCACGCTGATTTATTTTTACCATTGGAAGCCTGATATAAATAATAACTGTAAGGCCAAAAAAAAGTCTTCAGTTACTGGTATGGAGCTTGCCCCAAAAGTGGTGCGGCGACGCAGCTTTTTTTCTTTAACTTTTTTTTTCTTCAAATGTCGGCTGATGACTGCAAATGGTGCCCGACTAAATTTAGTGCAAAATGTATGGGAACCCAGAGAGGCCACATAAAGCTTATACTCGACCGTAACCCCATCTAAAAATACGTTAAAATTGTGCTGCAGCAGGATTCCAGTCTAACCAGTGAGTTTGGCAATTTTGAGACATACATTGAAAACAAAACTTTTAAATTTTGCCGATGCGCATGGCTCCGGAGACGCGCGCACATACCAGAAACCAGAGCCTTTTTTTTTGGCCTAATATATCAGCATATGTATGTTTTGACTTTGGCTCCCCTGCCTTAACAGCTTTCAAATTGCATTATTTATGCCTATGATTGGACTGTCATGCAACCTTCAATCGTGTGTACAGTGCCCTGATCACAGATTAATGAGTTTTATCAACTGGACCGTGAAAAAACAGTGGGTGTTATCTTATATTGACTTATAGTCATTATACCCCGCTGGTAATTACATACAGAGATGGTCCACATATGGGCCACAGTCCATGCACTTATATTGATTTGCAGTGTATGTGTTCCAATGTACTTGTGCTTAAAGTGTGTTGTCAAGTTGATAAAAAGGGCAACATAAATGGAGCTTGAAAAAGAATGAACATGTACTACTAGGTGATAGTACAGAGAACCTTGAAGTACAGTGCTTGTAGTATGGTTTGTGTGGAAATAGTGAAAACTAATGATAAAGTAATGGTAAAACGAAAACACATTGCTGGAACAACTCTAAAGCTGTGACCCAAGCATGCCAAGTGTGTACCTCCCTGTAGTACCTCCCTGGTTTTTGCGCGCATACGAAGACGCAGGGAAATGTATACTTTCATGCGGTTGAGTTGTTGGAATGGACCAAGGAAATGCCGCAGCTGCCTGATGAATATTTATGAGGTGTAGTAATACTAGATCAGGCTTGATAAAAGTACTGGACCCAAAAGTCTGAGAGTAGGAAATCGTTTCACTTGCATGTATTTCTCAATGACTTGGTCGGTCGGTTGGTCGGTCATTCAGTCAGTCAAGGGTGGTTCATACTCAGGGCGAAAGTGAACGCGAACGCAAATTTATGACATCAGGGCAAGTTTTCGCGCTGCGAATTCGCAAAAGTTGAACACATTTTAACTCCGGCGAATTTTGCAGCACATGCTTTGTGATGTCAACTTTCGCATCGCGTTTGCATGAAGTATAGTACGTACATGAACCAGCTTTCAGTCAAACATTGTACATTTGTAGGCTGGCCCTTTGGTCTGCAGTACCAGTACATGCACATATTACCATCGCTTTGTACATGTACTACACAATCTGCTGGTTGTATTTTCAAGTAGAATATTTTGATTTTTAAACTAGAGTGGGGTTTGAACCTGCAACCTCCAAGTTTCCATTCCGGTGTTCTACCCACTGAGCTATCCAGCCCTATGTTGGTAGTTCCCCATTTTGTCATTGTCTTTGTTCAAGGGGTGCCAGTCAGATGCCAGAATATTTTTACACATCAGAATTGTCTTAACATGAAGTGAAATTTGGGGCCCATGATTTTTTCCTTTCTAAACCAATCTTCAGACTGCCCCTTTAACCTGACACTATTGAGGTCAGTTGTGTTAGAGATCAATCTTATGGACTGAATACATAATTCATCCTGTGGCCTATGGCAGTGTGTTCTCAGGTCTGTGATGGTGAATTAACTTACTGTTAGTTAATGAAGAGTTGAGACCAAATAATGATTCATTCATCTTAATAATTCAGTGAGCGATTTTCCTTGATTGGCATCGTAAATTGCAAAGCAATTTCAACTTTAATGTAACAATAACACAAATTACTCTAAAACATTTCCTTATATGGTAGATAAAAAATGTAAAAAAAAATCATGATAAAATTGCAAAAATGTATTGCATGGTAGTTTTTTTCTAATTTAAAATGACCTGCTGGAATTACATTGTACATGACTGCCAACATGGCCAGCACATTGCGATAAAGTTTATTGATTTTTGTTCTTCATTCGTTTTCTTTCATTGCCCTATGCTGGTACCTTGTACATCCATCTCTTCGTATCCTTGATTTCACATCGATTGTACCAGTCCCCATTTTAAAAAATCATTTTGTTCACTCTATCAATACAGTCTTCTGTTAGAATGGTACGGACTGGAGAAATAAATTAAATTTTCTTGCACTCACACAAAAACAGGAATCGTATTATCTCACACTCTTGATACAGTTAATGTAATTGAGCTCTCTGTCAAGGACGCCTGCGTTGTTGATGTTTTATATGCATGCGTGACTGCCATGGTCTTGTTCAGCCTCTAGCAATATTTAAATACCATATTCATTTGTAAGAATATTTATTTTTGCAGTGTATTGAGGTAGAGTCTGTTTACATACATGTACTACCACGTAGTGTCTAAATGGTTATATTTTAATAGCAAGTCTTTCTTTCCACTCAAAATGATAATAAGTTACATGTATGTGTCCAGTGTTTTAAGCCTAAGGCCTTTTTGCTAGGATGTAGCCTCAGTCCTGCAAAATCCTCCAATTGGCCTCATGGAAAAATAGCATGTAGCCTCAATCCTGCAAATTCCTCCGTTATTTCTTGAATATGGTCCATGGAGGGGTGACCACTGCCTGAATCCTGCAAAATCCTCCGGCTATGACTGTCAATAGGCTGAGGCTGAGGCAGTGACATCCTGGAGCAGTGCGGAGGATGTCAAGTATAATCAAGGACTAAATTTATGCACGGCTGAGCATAAACAACACGAGGTCTGGCCTAAGACCTTGACACAGTGCGTACTCCGAAATTAGCAATGCACTTTTGCCATGTAACCTCAATCCTGCAAATTCCTCCAATTTGCAAAAAGGATTTTGGAGGATTCAGGGCGGTTAGGGTTAAAGATATATACTGGATATGTGAGGCATTCTGGCAATATGAGATAGAAGTGGGCACAGGCCATAATGGAGAAAAATGCAAGAAACTACCGGTAAAGGTGGCGAATTTATTGTTGATTTTCAAATTGATTGATATTTATAGTCTTTGATACATGTGTATGTCTACTACACATTTCAAGAAATATTGTAAAAATCCCGGATTAAAAGTGTTTTTAAAGATTTAAACATTAGCATCTTTCATATTCACTACCGCAAAACAGTCAAAATTTTGAGGACATTTTTCTCAGTATTTTTGCGATGTTTAAATAGCCATTACTTGTCAACGGAATGTTCGATTGAGATGCAACAAACAGCATTTTAAGGAAACTTTTATTGTCTTTCCTTATACCCACAAACTCTCTAACCTCTGTCCGTTTGTGTCGCACTTTGCCAGAACACCTCAGTCACATGTATACATGTATGATATATTCGTTAAATGAATTATCAATATTTATCAGTAATACCTGAAAAGATTAGCAACAATGATTTCAAGATTCTCAAATCAAGAACAAAAATTCACTGTGCTTCACCATACAGGATATATCTCCCCAGTGTAGCAAGCCAAAACATAAATTATTCATGAAATTTCCTCCTGGTCTGACCTACATTTTGAAGAGGTGATATCATAGCATGGCAATGTATCGGTGAATCTCATGTATACCCAACCCCTTAATCACTTAAAGTACTACTTGTCACTTTCAATCGACTTGATCAATCGACAAGTAAAAATCTGGCAGGAAATCTTTTCAGGGAATATGACGCTGTTTGTCAACACCGTTCTATAGTGGGTCGGTCAATGTGATTATAACTGTCAACGATTCTTACAAATGTCATCCATTGTTGGTCGGTAGCGTTTGTTGTTTGGAAGGGAATGTACTGAACCAACATTTGTTAATTAATGCTACGTGGTATTCAAATGATTGTTATTTTTTTATTTTCATTTTGCAAATTGTTAATATTTGGGCTCCACTTTTTTCCTGTTCCTGTTTGATAAAATTTTGACATATTCATGATTTTGTAATTTTGGATGCACTCCTGAATGTATTTTCTTTGAGAATGCTTGAATAGCAAAGGACCCACTCAACAAATGAACATTACATGTGGCTTCAATCCTCCAGAATCCTCCTGGTGGTTTTTTAGGATCTTGGAGGATTGAGGATGAATGGTGTTTAAGAAATTAACATGAGAATTTTGGAGGATTGAGGATGAATACATTTTGAGAGGCAGCGCTGTCTGAGGATTTTGAAGGATTGAGGCGCTGGGTATCCTTCACTTGAACATATAGTGCAAACTTTTGGACGATTTTGGAGGCCTTTGGATGGTTCCTAGCAAAAAGGGCCTGGGTTAGGATTAACCCTAACTCCCTAGGCCTTTTTGCTAGGAAGTAGCCTCAATCCTGCAAAATCCTCCAATTGGCCTCATGGAAAAATAGCATATAACCTCAATCCTGCAAATTCCTCTGTTATTTCTTGAATATGGTCCATGGAGGGGTGACCACTGCCTGAATCCTGCAAAATCCTCTGGCTATGACTGTCAATAGTCTGAGGCAGAGGCAGTGACATCCTGGAGCAGTGCGGAGGATGTCAAGTATAATCAAGGACTAAATTTATGCACAGCTGAGCATAAACAACACAAGGTCTTGCCCAAGACCTTGACACAGTGCGTACTCCGAAATCAGCAACGCACTTTTGCCATGTAACCTCAATCCTGCAAATTCCTCCAATTTGCAAAAAGGATTTTGGAGGATTCAGGGCGGTTAGGGTATGTTAGAATGGTAAATTACGAAGTTCCAAGGCAACAGGGACAGGAAAAATGTCACACTTTGGACCCTAGGTTTGCAGAATGACCCACGTGTTAACAATTTACTGTTGTCTATTTTTCCTTTAATTAGAAATTGCTGTCGAGCCCAAGAACACTCATCAATGGTAGGACAGAAATTTCCTCAAGTGCAATAAGGGTTGGAGATAGCACAGCAAAATGGTGAGTGCCCCCTTTTATTTTCAAAACACAACACCACAATGCTTTACTTGTTCTTTTGCCTGCCACTATCTCATTCTAACCAAGCGAGGGCGCTGTAGAAGATCAGAAGCATGTTTTATTCAATCATGACCAAATTTATCTCCCTGATGGTGTGAAAAATACACTCTCACTAAAAAAAAAAAAATCTTTCACGAAGATGTTTGTACTTCTCTCGACAGTCTAAGAAATCGGAGTCGGTCAAAGTGGTGGTGCGGTGTCGTCCCATGAACTCCAAGGAGACGGCAGAGAAGTACGAACGAGTCGTGGACATGGACGTTCCTCGTGGTGTCATCTCGGTACGCAATCCCAAGTCATCCTTGGAGCCACCCAAGCAGTTCACGTTTGATTCAGTCTACGATTGGGAGTAAGTTATCATCTCAGAAATATTACCCACCCTTCCCAACGAACTCTCATAGAAACCATATCGACCCAACCCGGACATTCTGCATACCCTACCCTATTCTACTCAAATCTAACCTAAGGCCAAAAAAAAAAAAAAGTCGGTCTCTGGTCAGCGCGCACGTCGATTTTAATCATGCGCGTCAATCTTTTTTTTTTTTCAAAATGTTCCGCGGTAGCTCCAACAGCGCCCTCTATTGCTGCACTTCCTCAATTTCGTTTACCAAAGAGCACCAAGGAATGGGAAATTGCACCAAGGCAAATGATCGAAAGCACCAAGGCAAATTATGGAGGACACCAATGTACATGAGGACACCAAAAAAGCAAAATAGTACCCCACCTTGTCTGTACAATCCAAGCTTGAAGAAAAGAACAAAAGCAAAAAAAAAAAAAAAAAAAACCGCGTCAATTCCGGAACTTTGGTCTGAGCAGAGACCGAATATTTTTTATTTTTTTGGCCTAACTAACCAATTTAAAGGTAATGTACAATATTTGCAAACATTAAAATAAAAAAACAAAACTACCAAATTATTATAAAATACCTGACTTGACTGTAAGTAAACAATAGCCTCCAGCATCCTGTGAAATGGTTGCGCCGGGAATGCTGTCATTTTCAAGTCAAGTGGAATTCTGCATCAATTTCCGACGATGGTTGGTCAACCATCGTTGGAAAAACCTGGCTTTTTTCCCTTCTAATGCTGCCCCCAGTTGACCGAATTGTATAGTCCACATTTTGTTTGTAGTCGGTTACATATCTGTGAATTGGCATTAGCCAGCTAGTCTGGTTCCCTGGCCTGACAATTCCCTGATGTCTATAAATTGTTCCATTTCATCTGAAGCGTCGCATCAGGGAACCAGACAACAAAAACAGGTTTTGTTTTTCTTTCTTTTTTTTCTTTTTTTCTGGCATCCATGAACACACAACTTTAAACAGCACAGTGGAACAATATTTGCTATAAACCTCCAAATCCATTCGTTTCTGAAAAATTTCATCAAAAGCAAATGTTGTATAAATATTACCTTTAAAGTCGAGGGCGCAATTTCACAAAGCGGCTAACCATTAAAACAAAATTCTTAGCAAAATTGTGTGTTTTGTGAAATAGCAGTATGCATGGATTTGCACATCTTTCTTTTAGTCTAATCCTTCTTTTGTGCTTAGCAATTTTGCTTGGTCAATTCCATAAAATTGTACAGAATGTGTCGAGGTTCTAGGTACCACACGAGACCTTTAACCAAATGTCGTTCAGACGTTGCTGTTTTGAAAACCCAATCTATCAGAGATCTTGCCTCACAAGCTTCCCAACGTAATCGATTCATTGGTGGTAGAGTAGCCCAAGTACAAGTCTCATCTCGTTGAGATGATGCGTCACTGAAGCGACAAGATTCCTGATGAGTTTGGCCGTGAGTCGGTCAGCTGTGAAGTGGATTGGAAGGTCAAACCAGACCCAATCAATCAGAGTTGAATTTCACACTTGCAAGCATTGTGGCCAACTCATACTGGAGCCATTTCTGTAAAATCTGTCTTTATTTTTCAAACGACACCATTTCTTTTGATATTAAAACTGACTGATCATCACATAAAATTGTGGAGTAGTAAATGTCATAAGTGGTTTAAAAAAACCCAATATGCTTGGATGAAAATGAACAAAAAAATTTAGGAATTGCCACAAGAATACAAAATTTGTTGGATATAAAATCAGCTCCTGTCAAAAGTCTAAATTTCACACCGCATGTTCCATACATTTCTAGAGTATTGTTTGGAATAATGTTATAACTAATGTTAGGATTTATGTATACATGCTCACTATGTATACAATGTGCATATTTTTGTACGCCAAGCCCAAGGGGCGTACTGTATCTGTATAGCAGATGGATGCATCTCATATGTATACACCGTGTGTGATTTATGGTCTGTTATTGCAAACAGTAACTCCACTGGCATTTCTGTTTTCAGACATTAAGTACAAATGCTTGTCAGGATGGGAGGACTCTCCGGCCGAATGTTTATTTGTACAGATAGGAATGGTTTGCATTCAGAGCAAGGCGTGCAGTATCCTGGTTTGTCTAGTGCTCCGACAAGGAACTTATACATGTGTACATGTACAGTAAATTTGTGGGTTCAAAAGTGTGACATTTTTTGGTGTCCCTGTTACCTGACCTGTGTAATTTGCCATGAAGTATCATTAAAATTGACTTCAAACTAATTTTGATTTCCTTGGCAGGTACTTAGCTTTACATAATCACTCTTGAAGATTGAAGGCATTAATTAATTAACCCTAACTCCCTAAGCATTTTTGCTAGGATGTAACCTCAGATCCTGCAAAATCCTCCAACTGCCTCCATGTAAAAATAGCATTCATCCTCAATCCTGCAAAATCCTCCGTTATTTCTTGAATGTGGTCCTTGGAGGGGTGACCACTACCTCAATCCTGCAAATCCCTCCGTTATTTCTTGAATGTGGTCCTTGGAGGGGTAACCGCTGCCTCAATCCTGCAAAATCCTCCAGCAATCACTGTCAATATGTTGAAGCAGAGCCAGTGACATCCTGGAGCAGTGCGGAGGATTTCAAGTGTAATCTAGGCTGAATTTATGCATGGCTGAGCATAAACAACACAAGTTCCGGCCCAAGACCTTGACACAGTGCATCCTCTGCAATCAGCCACACTTTTGCCATGTAGCCTCAATCCTGCAAAATCCTCCATTTTGCAAAGAGGATTTTGGAGGATTTGGGAAGGTTTGGGTTTTAATTAACCCTAACCTTCCTCAATCCTCCAAAATCCTCATTGTGGTTTTGGAGGATTTTGAAGGATTGAGGCTGAACGGTATTTTGAGGCAGGACTGTCTGACGATTTTGAAGGATTGAGGCGCTTGGTACCATTCAATTGAACATTTTTGGATCAGGAGGATTTTGAAGGATTGAGGATGAATGCATTTTGAGGCAGGACTGTCTGAAAATTTTCTGAAAATTTTGAAAAATTAAATTTTTTTGGAGGATTGAGGATGGTTCCCAGCAAAAAGGGCTAGGGGGTTAGGGTTAAAGAATGTGTCCTGAATTTACAAAATTTTATATCAGATGTATCAGGGACACACAAATATTAGACCCCAGAGTTATGCACTAACCCACTTGCATTATGTACTCAACATGTATTTGAAAACAGATACATGTACTCCATTTACACTATCAGTGTACTGTAAAAGCCAGTTTATACCGGAGGCCTACATGTAGTATAGTATATCACTGTTAGTTTCTAGAATTTGCACTTGTGGGAATTGTGGACTGGATATACAGCTCTTGTCTGTCTGTTTTGAAATTACATTTTATATGAAATAAGGTTTTTTGTTATTGTGCTCAGGGGAGGGGAAGGGTAATATGTGAGGCGCTCTGGCAAAATGAGACGGCACTGGGCACAGTGCGTAGTGGAGAAAAATGCCCAAAATGAGTTTGGATTATTTGTTTTTCGTTTTTCAGATATATTTGTACTTGTAATATTTGATATGTCTTATATGTTAAAGATATAGTTTAAAATAGGTGGAATAGGCCGATAAGTGTTTTTAAGGAAAGGCGTCTTTTATTTTTACGACTACAAAACTCAATATTTTTTAATGGCCTTTTTCTCAGTATTTTACTTTTGTGATATGTCGATAAAAGCAAACTTTAAACAGTCATAAAATGTCAACGGAATGTCCGATTGAAGTGCAACAAACAGTATTGTAAGGAGAAATGTATTGTCTTTCCTTATACATGTACATGTACCTGCAAACTCTCATTTCGACCTCGGCTTAGTTCTGTCTCGTTTTGCCAAAACATCTGACATGTGTAATCTGCTTTTTCTTCCTCATGATAACATTTGTTAATCTTAACTCCCTGGGCATTTTTGCTAGGAATGCAACCTCAATCCTGCAGAATCCTCCAACTGCCTCCATGTCAAAATTGCATACAGCCTCAATCCTGCAAAATCCTCCAGCAATCACTGTCAATTTATTGAGGCAGAGCCAGTGACATCCTGGAGCAGTGCGGAGGATTTTAAGTATAATCTAGGCCTAAATTTATGCACGGCTGAGCATAAACAACACAAGGTCCGCCCCAAGACCTTGACACAGTGCATCCTCCAAAATCAAAAAAATCATCCTCCAAAAAGCCTCAATCCTGCAAAATCATCCTTTTTGCAAAGATGATTTTGGAGGATTTGGGAACGTTGGTGTTAATTGATGATTGAAAAAACTGGAAGGCTTTCGACATTCAGATGGTACATGCATTAGGATGTATCATGAATGACGGGTTGCTATTATGAATTCAGTTCACAGCCCTCACCTTACCTCATGTAACCTGCTCAGAATATCATTAACACACCTGTCCTGGGTACAGGTCTCACATACAGTGTGTGTGTCATTGTATTTTGTTGTATTACACGCTTTTGCATTAGTTTGGGGATCCTTACAAACGTGCAGTAATTTATCATGTCAACAGGCAATTATTGTTTCGATAAAACCAAAAAGACACTGTACACTACTGTTTAATGTCCATTATTTGCTATTGGTGTAAATAACTAAGTAAAAAAATTATATTTAAAGTAAAGTTTAATAGTGCGTTTTTAAGATAATCTCACTATCTACGGTCAGTTTTCTGATGTTTTTATTTAGAGAGATGTTTTTACACAGTTTTATCGCTGAATATCTGGTGTATTTTTTTTATATTTTTTTTGGGCCTGTTTAAGCCCGGTTCATACTCTGCGCGAAAGCGAATGCGAATTTGTGACGTCGTGGCAAGTATTCGCGCTGCGAATTCGTAAAAGTTGAACATCTTTCAACTCGGGCGAATTTCGCAGCGAATGTTTTATGACGTCAAATTCGCTTTCGCATGAAGTATGAACGGGGCTTTACTTTGATCTATTAAATGCACACCTTGGCACCCAATCATCGGCACCTTTCTGTATGCCGTCCCATGTCCCATACTCCAACACTCATCCAAGCACTAGATGTACGTACTCGCTGGGGGGCCCGGCATGTTTATCAGACTAATTCAGTTTGTGAATCAGGATAGCGGGAGAGTTTGTGCCAGGAATTAAAACCTAATCAACTTAGCGTGGATCTGAAGCCTCTCGGCGTGTCTGGCATGCCGGGAGTGTCTTTTGGCTCGTTGGCAGTGCCGCCTGGACAGGACGGTACATTTTACCCAGGGCCCAATCGGCCCAACACCAAATGTTGGTTGCAAGATAGGCTTTAGAATTGTCAGTTGAAGTGTGGCGGAGCAATTGATTACTTAGATTTTCTTCAGTGTTTTTATTTAAAAATTAGCTACAAAGGAGTAGTTCTCCCTTTAATAAATTCAGCAGTTTGTTAAGTTTTCCCTTCACTTTCTTAGTTGTGTGCCCCCCAAATTGTTTATTCAAGTCCTAGGCCCCCCCCCCCCCCTTGTTAAGTGCTGCCATAATCTTGTCTTGTCTGGTACTCAGGTGGTGATCAGCATATAATCACGCCATATGAAATCATTGCTATCCTCAGCAATGCTTAAATGCTTTTAAAAAAACCAACACTTTCTATCCATAAAATTAAAGTTTTCCCTAGAATACTCAAATACTTTCAAGAAACTCTCAATCTTAAAAAAAATCACCGCACTTTCTATCCTTAAGTCAAAGCAACACAAACTTGTCCCTAAAATACTCCAATACTAAATGTTCGTTCCTTGGTTCTATTTTCTTGTCAGTTCCAAACAGAGAGAGTTGTATGATGAAACATTCCGAAGTCTGGTGGAGTCTGTTCTGAATGGATTCAATGGGACGATATTTGCTTATGGACAGACAGGGACCGGCAAGACTTACACGATGGAAGGTAAGCATATAGCTAAGCATTAAACGTAAGCAGGAAGTAAAATCCGTCACGAGCCAATACAGGGTGAGTAAAAAAAACCCCGAAACCCAAATGTCGGGACCTTTGTTTTAGTGAAGTTCTGCATGTAGCACTTTCAGAATCTAGAATGTGAAATCCCAATTCATAAGCTTTCTTTTAGTGTAAGAATCATTCAAATCACTTATGTACTTTTCAAGTTACAGAAATTTACACACAACCACCGTTTTAAGGTTCTGTCCATGGATCACAAAAAAGTTCAGTGTTCTTTCAGCAAAGCGAAAAAAAATCACATAGAGATGTGTGTGAATGGTTTTTGTTTTGCTGAAAGAACGCATACCTTTGTTGTGATCCATGGACAGAACGTTAAAATGTTAGTTGTCTTTAAAATCTTGTAACTTGAAAAGTATATGAGTGATTTGAATGATTCTTGTACTAAAAGAAAGCTTATGAATTGGGCTTTCATATCCTATATTTTGAAAGTGCTACATGCAGAACTTCACTAAAAACAATAGTCCCGACATTTGGGTTTCTTTTTTTTTCACTCGCCCTGTATGACCCATCAGGCAGGCGTTTATCACCGGTTTCAGTGGCATGAGGATATTTCTATTCCCCCTGGATGGGATGCCAGTCCATCGCAGGTTACTCCCCAGCTAATGTCGGTACCCATTTGTACTCCTGGGTGGAGAGAGGCAAGTGGGGGTGAAGTTCCTTGCCCAAAGAGCAGCTGGATTCGAACTCCTGACCCTCTGATGATGAGTCTACCAACTGAGTTATCCTCCCTTACTTTGGTCGTATTCATCAATCTTGACCTTTAAGATTAACTTTGCAACTTCTTGTTTTCATCTTGAGGTGTGAGGTCAGATCCAGAATCCAGAGGTGTCATCCCCAACTCCTTTGAACACATCTTCACTCACATCGCTAGGACACAGAATCAGCAGTACCTAGTCAGAGCCTCATATCTGGAAATCTATCAGGTGAGGGTTCTCTTTGTTGTATGTTGGTTTGTGTCAAGTCTATATGTGTTGGTCACCTGACTGGCATCAGGTGACTCAATGATCACATCACATGACTTAATTGCAAAGTTGTAGTCAAATCAGCGCAAGTCATCACAAGTCAAACACATGTTGTTCAGTCCCAAGTCAAGTCCTAAGCTATGTGATCTGACTTATGATTGACTTGTGATTGACTTGTAATGGACTTGTGATTGACTTGTGATGGACCTGCTGTTGCCGTGTGACTGACTTGTGAATGACTTGTGATTGACTTGTGACTGACTTGTGATTGATTTGTGATTGACATGTGATAGACCTGCTGTTGCCTTGTGATTGACTTGTGATTGCCTTGTTGATTGCCTTGTGATTGACTGGTGATTGACTTGTGATTGACTTGTGATTGCCTTGTGACTGACTTGTGATTAACATGTGATTAACTTGTGATTGCCTTGTGATTGACTTGTGATGTGACCTGTCATGGACTTGTAATAGACTTGTGTTCTTTTCTTTGATTACAGGAGGACATCAGGGACTTATTATCAAAGGATCAGAGTAAAAAACTAGAGTTGAAGGAGAGACCAGACACAGGTGTCTATGTCAAGGTAGGGTCACATCAATTCAAATACACCTGTTGTCTATACAATTTCATTTATCTTAACCACTAGCACCTGTACTACATTGTATTACATTGTATTACGTTGTATTATGTTGTATTACGTTGTATTACATTGTATTACGTTGTATTACGTTGTATTACGTTGTATTACATTGTATTACATTGTATTACATTACATTGTATTGCATTGTATTACATTGTATTGCATTGTATTGCATTGTATTACATTGTATTACATTGTATTACATTGTCTTTATTCCTGATTAATCCATAAAACCATATCATGCTGGGGCAGTTTGGGGCAGTACAGGTAGTAACAGGCAGGGAGGTTTATGTGGTATGGGATCTAATGGGTTAAGTGTTTCACCATTCAGTTGTTCAGCAAAACAAGAGGTATTCCAAACCAACCAACTCCCAAGGACCAGTAATGTGACTGAATTCTCCTCAAATATTTGTGAAATATTTAAGTCTTTATTACTGTTTTTATTACAGGATTTGTCCTCCTTTGTCACCAAGAGTGTAAAAGAAATTGAGCATGTCATGACGGTGGGCAACACCAACAGATCAGTGGGGTGAGTACTTAAAGGTCTTCAGTTACGGACAAACATTTATCGTTCCAAAGATTTTCCAAACCCTAGATTTGATGTCTGGCTTTGTCTTTGTTTCTTGTGCCATAATTTGTGACAACTGTGATGAAGGCAGTAACGGCAAATACATTGACCATAACGGTGGTGTTTACAGAGAAATATATAGTAATTATGAAGGGAGCTGTTGTTGCCATATGAATGTTTCCCACATTTTTATTCCTCAGATCAACGAATATGAATGAGCATAGTTCCAGATCCCATGCGATATTCATCATCACGATAGAATGCAGCGAGGTAAATATCAGAACCATGTCCTCTGTTTGTTCGGAACTCCAAAAAGTGAAGTTTTCCTGTAACCCTTAGTTTTAGGTTTGCCCATCAAGTAAATTTGTGAGCATTATGCACTCGGTTCTTCCGAGGGGTTGCAAGGGAAAGTTCATAAGCTTACTCGGGTGGGACTCGAACCCACGACCTCCTGCTTACTTGTGCAGATGTCTTATAAGAGTGTCAGCAGAGAGCAAATTTTGATACTTACATTTTCATACCCCGTAACAAAAAAGTCATCATACAAGAAATGTTCTTTGATAGACATTTTTCATTAATTTAAATTTCATAGGTTTTTTTTTTTTTTTTTTTTTTTTTTCTTTACAAAGCTTGGGCCGGACGGTGAGAATCACATACGAGTCGGGAAACTGAACCTGGTGGACTTGGCTGGCAGTGAGAGGCAAGCAAAGACGGGCGCTAAGGTAGGTTGGGTACTAGACTTCGGATGGGTAGGTTAACTCTGAAATCCCCCCCCCCCCCCCTTTAAATTTTAGCAGAGAGGTTTAGGATGTCACAGGATTGAGGGAAGTACTAACCCGTTTGTTACTGCAAGGCATGAAATGTGGCCCAGTTCTGTGCACGTTTGTTGTGTCTTCACTTGGTTTCCAACCGAACAGCGCCCTCAACCGACAATGCACAAAGCCAATTACACTCCCACTTTCTTGTCCCCAGGGTGAGAGGCTGAAGGAAGCCACCAAGATCAACCTGTCCCTGTCTGCTCTGGGTAACGTCATCTCAGCCCTGGTGGATGGCAAGAGCACTCACATCCCTTACCGAGACTCCAAACTGACCAGGTTACTTCAAGACTCGCTGGGTGGTAATGCCAAGACAGTCATGGTGGCAAACCTGGGCCCAGCAAGCTATAACTTTGATGAGACGTTAACCACGCTCAGGTAAGATTTTCACAAATGATGCAAGTAATGTTGTGCAAACCCGACCCGAAACCAACTGAAGGTCGGGTCTGGTCTGGTCGGACCTGTTTTACCATCATTTCAGTCTGGTTGGGTCAGTTTCGGTTTTACGTTTGTGATTTTCAGATCGGGTCGGGTCGGTTAAGCCATCTTATGAAGAAAAAAAAGAAATAAACTGAACTAAACCAGAAAAAAACCCTGAAGAAACTCTGCATTTGTCCTGAACATGTTCCGGGAAATTTTTTACTAGCAACTGCTTGACTCACCAATACTGATAACTTCATTACCGGAAGATTGCATTTCAAAATCCTGCAACTTATACCCGATACAATGTCTGGAACTCATCCTGATATGAATTGAGACGGGCCCTAAGTAAGAAATCTGTCGTTTGTATGTCGTGTTTGTAGATACGCCAATCGTGCCAAGAACATCAAGAATAAACCCAAGATCAACGAGGACCCGAAGGACGCCCTCTTGAGAGAGTTCCAAGACGAGATCATGCGTCTCAAGCAGCAACTGGAAAAGAAAGGTGGTGGAGGAGGGGGCGGAGCCAAGAAAAGAAAAAGAAGGCGGAACAAAGGGGAAGGTAAATAATTTGTCCAAAAGACAGAGATTATTGGGTACATGTATTGACCAATTCGGGCATGCTGTCAGTTCTATCACGAAGGCCCCCTTCAATGGCGAAAGCATTGTGCTAGCTATTGTTCAGATAATCCGTCACTGGGCAGTTGCTTTGCACAAAAGTGTGCACCACGTTTTCGCCATTGAAGGGGGCCTTGTGCGAGTACAGTGATCATGATCCTGGAATCGTCTGCAGCTGTACATGTAGCATGACATTTAAGGCTTAGAGAATATTTTCTGTGCTAGATATATTACTGTAATTATCAGCTCCATAAAATCAGCGCCTTAATCAAACAGTGTGTATTGACGACTTCTGGTCAGATTATCCATGGCAAATCGGCAAACTTGGTCACAGCCACTTTGAGAAATGTATATACATTAAAGGTGGCACAGCTTAATGGCTGTATTCAGAAAAGTCAATCTTAGCGATGCTGACAATTTGGTAACAATTTGTCTTGCCATCAGTCGGTGGTTCGGATGACGAGATCGATGATGAGACGGAGGAAGGGGAAGAAATGGACGAGGAGGAGATGTACAAACAGGCTCAGGAGAAACTGGAAGCGGAGAAAGAAGCTATCATGGCTAACAAGAGCATGATTGCTGAGGTAAGCAAGGATGTGATTTCTCCGGTTTTTTTCCGGAAATCCGTTTTTTTTTGGGCTGCAAAAGTCCACCAACGTGAATCATGTGAATCCGTTGAGAAAATAGGGGGGTAGAATGTGCTAATTAATTATTCATAATGAGTTTTGCTTGCCGAAATATCCGAAATTTAGTTACGGACATTACTTCGTTGATCGATATATCTTTTTTTTTGTCCCAAAATTTTTGTCCCAATCTTGTCTTTGTGACTTGTTGGTTTAAGACGTGCTTTGCTCTTGTGACTCATGTTACACCTGATGTTGTGGTGTCATTTTTGTGACTTGTATTACTCTCTTACCTCAGGAGAAGGAGAAGTTTCTCCATGAGTTGCAGGATCGGCAGGGCCTGCTGAAGAAACAACAAGAAGCTAGAGACGCTCTGGAGTCTAAGATTAAAGCAATGGAGAGCAAACTATTGGTGGGAGGCAAGAGTATTATAGATCACACCGATGAACAACAGAAACAGCTTGAACATCGGAGGTTAGAACTGGCTGAGAAGACGGTAAGAAGTTAAGATTGACGTGATTGGGGATGGGGTGGAATGGGCGTGGGGTGAGGATGGGGTGGGGGTGGGGATGGGGTTATGATGTGGTGAGATGGGGTGGGGTGGGATGACAAAGGGTTGGGGTGTGATGGGCGGAGAGTGGGGTAGATGGGAAGCAGGAGCATCACTAATGCCATGGGGAGAAACTTTTGACAGAAATTGTTCCTGTTTTTCACCATATTACTGATCCACCACACAGGACCAACAGTCTAACATTTCACCCTATTTTCAATGTGTTTTGATGTTTTCTTCAGCGCATCGAGAGAGAGATGCAGCAGAAGCTTGAAGAGAAAGAAGAGAACACCGAGGAGATGGCCAAGACGTTTACCTCCTTGCAACAAGAGGTGGATATCAAGACCAAGAAACTCAAGAAGGTAAGGTCAGAGGTTGAACCTCATCTCATGTTTTCACTCTGACCAGGTTTGATCAAGAACATTTGAGTAATCATACATCAATTTGTCAGGGGTCAGCAATGATCAGGCAAGGAATTTAGATCTACAGGAAATATTTGCTGCACAGGTACAAGATACATCACATTAACTTTTGATTTTGTTGATATTTTGAATTCCGTTACAGTTATTTGCAAAACTACAAGCGACAAAGTGTGATATACAAGATCTCCAAGAAGAGCACGCGAGAGAGAGACAAGAACTGGAACAGACTCAGAACGAGCTGACCAGGGAACTCAAGCTCAAGTAAGTAGTAGAGACTGACACGGATAGGGTGACACACTGTATGACAGACAGGGTGATACAGACAAAGATATCCTCGGGGGAGCATTTGATATAAATACTAAACGTGCAACAGATTCGCATCAAAATGACCAAGGAAGTGGAACCAATGTCAAAGAGAGAGTGACGGAGATGGGGTGGCAGACTGTATAACAGACACAGAGATACAGACCGTCAGACATCCCCAGGGGAATATGTGAATTAGAGAGAAAAATCAGAACAGAATGAACTGAGCACAGATCTGCAACTGAGGAATCAATAAACTTATTTGCAGTTATTTCTTATCTTTCAGGATGCTGATCATAGAGAACTTTATTCCACATGAAGAGAAGAATAAGATCTTGAATCGCTCCGAGTTTGATGAGGATACAGACCAGTGGGTGTTGAAACCTCTGGCAAGATCAGAAGGGTGAGTACTTCAAGATATACCTGACGGGATCTCAGATATACTTTCTGGACTTTGTGTCTAGGTTCAATCACTAGTTAATCACAAGTCTCAAGTCCAGTCGCAAGCTATTCAGATGAACTGTGATGAAGGCATTCTTATGCCATTGTTCGTTTTGATTATTATGACTTGAAGTGCGATTTGATTTGTGACTTACTTTTGATTGACGCGTGATTTGACTTGTGATTTAACTTGTGACTGACTTGATTTGACTTATGATTGACTGTAAATTCAGAGGGAATAGACAAAGGCATCCCTTGGTCATTGTTCATCCCTTGTCTGTGACCTGACCTGTGATTGACCTTTTGATTTGACTTGTGATTGATTTACGATTGACTTCAGATTGACTTGTGATTGACTTAGGAATTGACTAGTGCTTGACTAGTTATTTACTTGTGATTGACTTGTGATTGACTTAAATTGACTTACGATTTGACTTGTGATTGACTTGCGATTGACTTGTGATTGGCTTGTGATTGACTTGTGATTGACTTGTGATTGGCTTGTGATTGACTTGTGATTGACTTATGATTGACTTGTGATTGACTTGTGATTGACTTGTGATTTCCTTGTGATTTCCTTGTGATTGATCTGTGATTGATCTGTGATGGACCTGACTACAACTGTGACTAAAATTCAAATAAACTGAAATCATTTTCTCTGACATTTGTTTCTCAGGCCTACCCAGATGGCCAAGAGACCAGTGTCTGCCGTTGGCAATCGCAGACCCATCGCAGACTTTGCAAGGATGGCAGCCCAAGTTGGTGGAAACCCTAGATATAAAGTAAGCCACATTGAATCTCGGGCTAAAATTTCAATTATTTCAATGAGTAATACAGACTGTGTTCTACCATTGCAGAAAGAAAGAAACAACATAGTTAACTGCATATTTTTTTTTATTAGCAACTTTCTTCCGTGCTTTCTCCTTTGCTTGTTGATAGTCACATAAGAATTTTGATTTGCAGATATTCTTGTTAATGTTCATGAAACAGATATGCATTATGGATTTCTACTTCAATTTTATGTAGAGAGAATTGACTTATCCCTGTTAATATTTTTTATTTGTAAAAGTTATGGATTTCATTTTTTGAAAATAAAGTGTTTTTTTTTAAAGCATTTTTCTTTTGTTTTGCATTTTTAGGCCGAGAATATCCTGCAGGTCGAGTTAGACATGCCAAACCGCACCACTAGAGACTATGAGGGCCCCAGCGTTGCTCCAAGGGTACAAGCAGCGTTAGATGCAGCATTACAAGATGAAGACGACCTGGATTTAGAAGTCCAGTAAGTCCATAGGGTAGAGGGAGGGAGGGGGAGGGGCTATCACAGAGATGGGGGGATTAGAGACTATGAGGGTCCCAGCGTTGCTCCAAGGGTACAAGCAGCGTTAGATGCAGCATTACAAGATGAGGACGACCTGGATTTAGAAGTCCAGTAAGTCCATAGGGTAGAGGGAGGGAGGGGAGGGGCTATCACAGAGATGGGGGGGGGAGATTAGAGACAGTGAAGGGTCTATGAACAACAGGCAAACAGGATTCATTTGTTTTTCAAAATATATTTTGTTGTCTGTTTTTATGTTTTTCAGACCTTCTGTTTTTGCTGGAAGAGCAAAGACAAAATTGAAGAAGGAAAAGACAAAAACAAGGTAAGCTGAAAAGCGACCAAAACCAAGGTTTAGTCCAACCTTAACTCAAAATTCTATTATGGCAAAATGATGTGCCTAGCAGCTTTTGAAATGTGTAAACATTTTCTTGATTTTCTCCTTTAAGGAGCAAGCCTGCTGTGACGTCGTCCAACGCCTCAGCGCTGAGGAAAACAGGAGGAAACTCACAAATGTACCCATCTGCAAGAGGTCTCATCTCCAAATAGTACCATCTGGCTAAGACGTCTTCAAGACAACACAATGCAAAACAGTCACTATGTCATTGTGGGTGGGGATTCCTCTCAAAGAGGGGGGGGGGGGGATTCTGTTGGATGCTTCGTGAAAGTCCTGAAGGGTTTATTAAAACCTCAACTTTACTTTGCAAAGTTCGTCTGCACTCGGTTTGTCTAAAGCAGAGATGTAGTTGAGTCTGTCACAAGTCCCTGCAAGTCCGTCACAAGACTATCACAAGTGGTAGCATAAAATGGTACGACAGTAGAGCGCGTAATGAATATGCATGACTATGACGTCACTAGAAGCTCATGAGTAATATATCACGCACGGTACTGATAGATATACATGTAGATGCACACTGTATGTGCTGCATCCCACTTACCGGTGATATCACATTTAACAAGTCCTCTTTCTACTGTCGCGCCGCCACCCTCTAGTGTCGTCCCACTTACCGGTGATATCACATGTAACAAGTCCTCTTTCTACTGTCGCACCACCACCCTCTAGTGTCGTCCCACTTGATGATCATCGGTAAGTGGGGCAACAGTAGAGGGTGGCGGCGCGACAGTTGAAAGAGGACTTGTTAAATGTGATATCATCGGTAAGTGGGATGCAGCACATACAGTGTGCATCTACATGTATATATCTATCAGTACCGTGCGTGATATATTACTCATGAGCTTCTAGTGACGTCATAGTCATGCATATTCATCACGCGCTCTACTGTCGTACCATTTTATGCTACCATCACAAGTCCTCCAGTCCCAATTCAACTCACAAGCTATTCAAATGAGCTTTGACAAAGGCATGCCTTTGTTATTGTTCATCCACTGTTACTTGTGACTGGACTCGACTACATCCCTGGTCAAGAGTGCCAAGCATGCTCAGATGACTTGCTTTTCAATTCTTCTATCGACTATTCCTGATGCCTTGTTTTTTGTATCGGTAGTTTTCTTTATCATGTATTGTACGTGATCCAAGCAGTTAGTTGTTTTTTTCTAAAGGCGTTGTGATTAGTAATTTTAAGAACTTTTTGTCACTTGGCAGTTAGAATGTTGTAGAATATTCTGCCATTAGAAATGTATTCATAAGATGGAATTTTGCGTCGGGGTGATTTCAATATTTGGTTTTGCCCGTCACTGATGTATTTGATAAACACTGTATACTCAGTGTTGTCTGAGTGTTTGTTAGCAAAAAATCACTAACTACTTGGATGGGACTCGGACAACACTGACTGTACAGTATTTATTAAGGGACCGTGACCATTCAGCCCCGGTATGAAAAGGGCCCCCCGGTAAGCTCGTCCCCTCCCAAGAAGTCCTTTCGTACCGTCCCAGCTACCGGCCTAGGAGCTGGTCTGGTTGCTAATCAGGAACTCCTCTATCCTGGGGTCTATTGTTTGCAAGAATTGACACATGTAATGTATCCCAGAAGAAACCTGTTTGTGGTTTTCATCTCTCAGAGCGAAACAATAGAACACTTTCGTCGGCACAGATCAAAACCCCTGCCTTGCGGTTTCGCGCACAATGAGACCGTAAATTAAAAAGGCGTTTGGAAGGATTTTATCTTTAATCTGGTAAATCTGCTATTGTTCTGCTCTGGAGGTTCTCTGAAGGGCAATAAATTGATGCGCCTGACTGACTTCAAAACTTCTGGTCAGACAGGACCATGTACCGGACGAGACTGGGCTGAAGACCGAACTGGCTCTGGACCGGACGAGGTACCGGGGGGCCCTTTTCATACCAGGGCTGAATGGTCACGGTCCCTAAACATGTCGTCGTCATCATCATCATCATCATCCATTTATCCATCCATCTGTTTATAGTCCGTCTGCCCAGAACTCGAGGGTTGGACTCCATGCTGATCATGTCCTCTTGCTTGGATAGCTTTGATTACCAACAAATTACCAATGATTAACAATTTAGCAGAGTATTAATTTATTCAAATCCCTTCAATTGCTGTGCAGTATTCACTAAAACACTATATTTAACCAAAAATGATGGTAATAACAACTATCCCTCACAACTTAAATTCTTTCACTTGTATTCTCAAGTTATCAAATTTGAATATTCCAATCAGTTCAATCCATCCAATCACTAGCCAGTATTCAAATTTATTCTAATTTATCCTGAGATATATTATTTATATTGGATTGGAGCAATATAACAAATAACCGCTAAATAGCCACATTCATTAAAGAATGTTATATTGCATTCACAAGGGGTGACAGAGTACATGTTTACCATCTGAAGGTACTTTAGTTGTTATCGGTGTTAAAACTTTTTTTAATCTCTTAGGCCAAAAAAAAAAAGTCTCCGGTTTCTGGTATGGAGCTTGCCCAAAAAGTGGTGCGGCGACGCGGCTTTTTTTTTTTTACCTATTTTTTTTTGCTTCAAATGTCGGCTGATGACTGCAAATGGTGCCCGACTAAACTTAGTGCAAATATATGGGAGTCCAGAGAGGCCACATAAAGCTTATTTTCGATCATAACCCAATCTAAAAACGCGTAAAACTGTGCAGCAGCAAGATTCCAGTCAAACCAGTGAGTTTGGCGGTTTTGAGACATCTTTTATTGAAAAAAAAACTTTTTCATTTTGCAGACGCGCATGGCTACGGCGACGCGCGCGCATACCAGAAACCGGAGACTTTTTCTTTTTTGGCCTTAATCTCTTTAATCCGGGCCCAATTTCATAGCGCTGCTTAACAGCCAACTTTGTGCTTAGCGAGCCTCAATCTATTTCATAGAGACCTTTAAGCAGTAAGGACAGCGAAAGCACGCTTAATCATAGAGGAAAAAGTTGCTTAAATCAGTGACGTCACAATAGAAATCTCCATGTGTGTGCAACCGTTAACACAAAGAGTCCACGGCATGAAATAGTGCTTAAGCAGCAGCATGATTTTCTGCTAAAGTAAGTGCAACATTTCTGCTAACTGTTAAGCAGCGCTATGACATTGGGCCCAGATTATGGATGGGTTTCTAGGCCCTACTTATTCTAATCTTCATTCTATGCAGAATTTGCAAGAAAATGTACACCCTGCACTTTTTACTCAGAAATCGGCACATTTAACTACGGAACTTTAGGCAGTCCACATCAGTTGTTTCGAAGGACGAACTATATATATATACTTACACTGTATATGTACATGTACTTCAACTGTTCATTCATTTCTTACTGTACAAAGTAGATATAAATTAGTTGCTGTGTGTATATAGTCAAAAGTACTAAATATATCCATAAATATCTGTACAGAATTGAAGTGACCAGGTTTTCCTGGATTAAAACAAATTTGTGTGTATATAAGGACTGTACATTTTGTTTAGTACTATTGAAAACATCTACCAAAGTTTATCTCGGATCTATTTTGTTTTCTGATGCTTTCAAATTAATAGGATAATCATATTTCTGTGTGGACATTTGCTTTGATATTGTGTTATGCTGAATTAATTTATATTCTTTTCTTTTGATTCTTTTGAAATGCTTGTGTGCGAACTGAAGTATTGTTGTTATTTTTTGTACCGTCCGTCCGTCTTCAAGACTGTAAGAGAATTTATGTCTTTTTTTGCTTTGATTTCAGAAGTTTTAAATGGGATCTGCAGGTGTGGTGCTTAGCAGCTGTTAGCTATGGGGGATAAGGGGGTATATCAAGTTAGGAATGGGACTCCCAGAAATAAAATAATAAAAATAAATCAATGAAATCTGGGGGAAAAAATGGAATTTCAAATGCACTTTTATTTTTCAAGATTATTTTGTTCAAGCGTCTTAAAATTAGCAAAACTTTTTTTAAAGTAATTCAAAATAATCATTCAATAAATGTTTGTTAAAATCCCTTGGATTTCATTCTTGAACTTAAAAAACCACACCTCAGGAATGGTTTTCTGTATAATTCAAATTCACAATTCCTTATTTGAAGTAAAAAAACAAAGACCATTTTTGTATGACCCAATTTTTGTTTTTCAATTTTACCTGTGCAAGTCATTATTATGAATGTTTCGTTTACATAAATTTACAAAAATCAGTCAATAAAATATATTGAAAAGAAAGGTAAAATTTCCAATGCTGTCTTCATTTCATAAAGTTTATCTTATAATTTTACTCTAACCCCCCCCCCCCCCGAAAATCTTGACCACGCCCAAGCAATACAAATGAAGTAGCTTTAATGAGTGCCGAGTTTGCCAGAACTAGTCTTACTCATCCCCAGGGCAGTAAAGAAGATAGCTGCAATTTCTTATGAGCTACAAATCGCTAAGAGACGAGGTTAAATCAAAGCATTGCCTGCACTATAGAGCCGTGTTCGAATTTGCTTTATGTGTCTGCGGCTGCGACTAATCACAGTAGTACAACAACGGTTACAGTGAAGTCGAAGTCGAAAGCCATAACGTTGCGGACAGTCACTGATGCCGAGTTTGCGAATTTCGTAGGTGACCGTGTGTGTGCGCTTGCCCATTTACGATACGAAGCATGATAAACAACAGCGCGGCGGGCAAATGACGGTGGGTGTCCGCTGTCACAGTTTTGCTTCGATTTTTAGCAGGAAAAGTTACAGAAATCATGGATTCCAACAACATGACTACAACCACTACTTCGTCGAGCACCTTATCCACCTCAACAAGCACGAATTCCACCTCCACGACTACCTCAACGAGTGACAATGTCACGGAACATTCTTACTCGACAAACATGGTCGATCTGGACACACTTTCTCCCAAGGAAAAGCGGTTTCATTTCTTGAAGTTGAAGTGCGAGAGGATTCGGCATTTTATCTTACACGGCAGGCCCCCTCCTGGAATGAATACTAGCGAAGTCAGGAACCTACGGAATCAAGTCAAGGCGCATATTTTAGATCGTGCGAGTGAGTATGATTCTTCATTCTTTCCGGGACTATTTTGTGTTTTGTTTGTTAACTGTGACCTGTGGCTGTGTGTGTGATTTTGTCTTTTTATTTGTCTGTTATTCTATTGATGCAAAGCCCGTTATCCATCTGTGTGCCTTGGAAATATCGTTCATTCTGTTTTGAGAATGGATTTCTTTTCACTTATGGGATTTTCATCAAGTGTATTTTGTATTTAGCCGTGAACTGGCCTCGCAATATCTCCATTTTTAAGCCAATGTTTTGGAAACTTTATTTTTGTGTCCCAAAAAAATAAGAATTGTCTTCTTTTAATTGTTTTAACAAATCCTACATTTAATTGCAGAGTATTTCATCTTTTTTTTCTGATTCGTTGCTCTGGAAGATCAACATTATTAATTCAACAATCCTGTCTTTTATTTATTTAGAGCAAACGTTATATTACACCGGGGGCAAGGTGGACATCAAGAAGCGGGTAGTCGTAGACATGGACGAAGTGAACGACATCATGAAGCATTGTCACAGCAACCCAGCGGGGGGACACAGCGGGATTAACGGCACACTGACTAAAATATCACAGCATTACACATGGAATGGTATGAAGGAAGACGTCAGCAACTTTGTAAGTGAAGCCATAAATCCAAAATCCCCACTGATTCTCCAAAATCCACCTACGTGTATGTGTAGTCACTGCGCTCCATCCAAGCGTCGTCAAGGCATTAATGATTGATCACAATACAAGTCTGGTCACAAGTTAGGGTAACCAGAAGCAGAACTGTTATTTTTTTGGCCTAAAGAACAAAGTCAGTTCAACAAGTTCAGTCACAAGTAACAGTGGATGAACAATAACAAAGGAATGCCTTTGTCAAAGCTCATTTGAATAGCTTGTGAGTTGAATTGGGACTGGAGGACTTGTGATGGACTTGTGGTGACTTATGTTGACTTGTGATGACTTGTGATTGACTTGTGATGACTTGTGATGACTTGTGATTGACTTGTGATTAGAGCTGTGCATCGGAACCAGGTACCCGAGTACCCGACCGTTAATGTCAGGACCCAGCTCTAGAATATGGGATTGGGTACCCGTAACAACTTGACAAATTTACAAATTATAGGAACTTCTCGGACTATGAAATGAAAGGTTTTGAATGTCACTTGTGGGAAATTTTTTAAGTGAAAACCAGGTTACATGGAAAAACAAAACATTGTGTCGTGTTTATGACATTTGCAAAAGTTGCAGTATCTTGCGTGTGGACTTTTATGAAGAATCTGAACAGCAACTTCTGAGATATGAATTTTGGGGTTGGGTTTCTTTGTGTCAGTCTTTGATCAGTTCTTCCTTTCCTTTTCTCAGGTCAGTTCTTGCGAACGCTGTCAAACAGGTGACAGGAACAAGAACAAGGCGACCCCGGCCAAGACGATGAAACTCAAACTGACGCAGGCTCTGGAGGTTGTGGGAATGAATTTCATAGGTATCAACAGCTTATATATATAAAGCCTTGTCTGTGATTTTTTTTTTAAGTTAATTATCCATATAAAATTAAATTTTGGACTGTATATTTTTCTTTAAAATTAGATAGTGGATATTTTGCCGGAGGTAATGACGGCAAACTAACGATTACTAAAGGTTTGTCGGTGGCAATCCATATCAACAGAGGGCGCTATACTCTTTAAAATAGGGCTGAATTATAAGATGTATTAAATTCCCACCAAAAGTTGTGAAGCACATTTGGTGTAATGGTTAAACAAAGGCTTTAGTAAACGGGATGACTCGCGTTCGATTCCGACCGCACCACATTTTTAAAGTTTTTTTTTCTCATCCCCAAATAAATAAAAATATTCTTCTTTTATTATTTTAACATGTCTCAAACATTTTTTGCAGAGTATTACATTTTCTTTTTCAGATTTGTGGCTCTGGAGGATTTTTTTTAAAAGGGAAATAAAGTCCGAAATTATAAAATGGTCTGAATCCCATCTTGTGAATACGAGGTAACAACGATAATTTTGGCATGGAGCCAGACTAAAACTTGTCACCGGAAAATGTTTAAGTACCAAAAAACAGTAACTGCGCATGTTCAGTGCATATCCAGCAAACTAACGTTTACTAAAGGTTTGCCGTCTCCGGCAAAATATACACTGCCTTAAAATTAACCCTAACTTTCTAATTACTTTTACTAGGTAGAGGACCATGTCCATCAAAATCCATCACTCACTCTGCTTCCCATAATGCTTCAGGACTAAATCCATTGAAATCCACCACTGGTGCTAGTGGATTTTGATGGACTTGGTACACATGGTTTATCTACCAAAATCCCCCCAAACTGGGGCTGGTAGATTTTGATGGAGTTGGTAAGGTTAGGGTTAAAGCAAAAATAATTCAAATGGTTCAGAGCATGCTGAAGTTGTTAGTTTCCAATAATTGACTGAAGATTTTCAAAATTTGACCTTGTGTCTTACCAACATTTTCCCCCTATTCAACCCAGGGCCCCTACCAGTTTCAAATGAAGGCTGCAAGTTTGTCTTAGCCTTCACTGATTACTACACCAAGTTTGTCGACTTCTTTCCTTTGAAGACCAAATCGAACGTCGGCGTGACTTGGTGCATTAAGACATTCATCTACAGGTGGGGAGCACCGAAAGGGTTGCTTCTCAGCCAAGACGATGACTATATTATACAGGTCAGGAAGAATTGCTCTGGTTTCTCTGCTGTATTTTATTGAGCATTTCTAATTGCACCCAAACTGAATACAGAAATAGGCAAATTTGTGGAGAGTTGTGTCCTCATGGTCTTGAGCATTGAACTATGCGGGTAATTCTGCAGGTTGTGGGTTCGAGTCCAGCCTGGGGTTGTGGTGCGTGTGCCCTTGGGCAAGGCACTTTGTCACTCATTGCTTCTCTCCACCCAGGAGTAAATGGGTACCTGTGAGGGCAGAGATGGTTATTGTGATTGATTTTAGCTTCCTTGCGCCAAAATGGCAGCATCGAGCTGTATACTCCTTAGGGAGCTGAGATGGTATTTGGAATGTTTTATTGCACCAGTGATCAGGGGTAATAATAATGTAAAGCACATTGCTCATACAGATGTCTCATTCTCTGTGTATTGTATCCCATCTTCAGCTTAATACAGAGATTGGTAAATCACTCAACTTCCCCGGTCTGATAGTGACCAGCTCAGACCACCCACAGACCAGCAGTATTAGCGAACGCACCAATCAGATGCTGACCACACATCTGAACAAGCTGGTCAGCGAGTATCCAGACAACTGGGCACGTAACTTGGAGGAGTTAGCGTACTCCATACGAACACAGGAACAGTTACCTCTTAAATCCTCTCCCTTCTTCCTGATGTTTGGACGCCATCCTAGGTCATCTTCAGGGGTACGTTGAAGGAACGTTTTCTCTTTGGTATAGTTTAACTACTCTCAATTTTCCAAACAAAATTGGGACCAACATAAACAAAGGTTACGTATCAAGTTATGTCCGGTCCCCCCCCCCCCCCCCGAATAAGGATGTCTTTTCATATTTTTTTTTTTTAACAAATGATTCACTACTCCCAATTTTCGAAAATTGGTGCCAACACAAGCAAAGATTATTTATATTTTCAATCCAACATAGAAATGCCATCCCCCAAAAGAGTCTCTTTTCATAAACGGAGAATATTGGGATTTTTTTTTAACGAACAATGCCAATATGATGTGTCAAATGTAAAATGTGATATGTAACAAAATAATTCAGGAAAACTATTTGGGATAAATTTAGAGTGCTTCTCTGCTCTTTAAATTTCTCTTTTAACTTTCCCTGTTTTTGAAACTCATCAACACTAGAAACCACTCGCCTTATATTCTCAATCTAAAAGCTTGCCTATTTCCTGTTTCTTTGTTTAGATGGAGCCAGTAATAGATTTCATGAACATCGACAGCAACTCGATCGACACAAATTCCAGGGGTGGCGCTGAATTTCCTAAGCAATCCATGCGTGTCCCTCAATTCGATGACGAATACCAGACTCAGTGGAGGGGAACTTGTCTGGATTCTGCTTATCAGATCCTGCAGATGGCCGAGTATGAAAGCTTAAAATTCAGGGTAAGACAGTCCTTGTTATCAACCGTAACTCCTTAAGAATGTTTTCGAGAAAGCATCTTCTATCCTCCAACACTTCAAAGAAACACGGTGTAGTCCCTAGCATGTTTGTGACCTTTTGATGGAATTCTCATGGGAATTTTAATATTGGGTTTTCTTCTTCACCAGTGCATTTTCATTGGCATACTTCAGATGTCAAAGAAGTTCTGACAAAAAAATTAAGAAACTTCCTTGGGTGGGAGTTGAACCCACAACCTCCTGCTCAGTAGTACAGATGTCTAACCTCTTGATCACTGAGCTAGGGTCGGCTGGCTGGTTCAACTTTAATAAAGTACTTCTGATACAAATTAACTTTTTGTTTTGCATTTCAGACGGAGACCACAGACGACAATGAATACATGGTCATCACGAGAACGGGAACATTTGGCGCTGTAGGCCTTCCCACTGATCTGGCCAGCATAACGTTGGACCGTCACGGCAAACTGACCTACCAAGCCGTGTACCAACAAGCCGTAGAGCACCGACTCTTCGACGGCGAGGCGTTCGACGTGGCCATGTTCTGCGGCCTGCTCAGGAAGCTGACCAAGATGCGGTTCTGTAGAGGCATCCCGGAGGCTCACATCACGGACGGCGACATGCACTGTGTCAAGACCCTAGGCTACCCTGTACTCCGATACCAGGCTGAGAAATGCCAGATCTTCTACGAACAGACCAGCAACGACAGTAACAACAGTCGCACACCGTACCGCTGCGTCAGTTGCAAGTACGCCAGCAAGTTCCTGCTGAAGAAGAACAAACAGGGGAAGCTTCTAGTCCAAAACAAGAGGGAGTTGAAGAGAACGTTGCCGATGGGTGACTATTACTCAGAGATGTCTTCACGAGGTCCAAGAGATTGGATGGACAGGGAGAAGGAGAGATGCCAACAGGGCGGGAACGTGCTTGGGGGATCCATGGGTTCAAGACCTCATGAAGCGACGATTCCAAACAATGATTGTCATGATTTGAGGGACATTGTTCAGGCGATTAACAGCGAGTGTAATGTTGATCTCAGCGATGTTGTGTTTAGTGGGCCGTCGCATGTCAGTAACGTAGACAGAATGCCTGATAATATGCAGTGATCGATCCTGATCACAAATGGATTTCCGATATGTTCAACTCAAAAAGAATTTTTTTTGTCTGCATGGATGCAAGTCAGGGTTAAAAAGTTGTAAAAACTTTGGACAAAATTTGTCATCCTTTAAAGGGAATATACAACATTTGCAAACATCGAAAAATAAAACTACCAAGTTATTAAGAAATACCTTACTAGGATGTTGGTAAATGACTGTCTAAAGCATCCTGTAAAATTATGGCACCTGGTGTGAAGTCATTTTCAAGACAATGGTATTTTTGTATACATTTCCAGCGGTGGTCGGCCGACCACCGTTGGAAAAACCTAACTATTTTGCAACTACTGCTCCAAATTTACCATTTTTTATTCAGTTCAAATTTGTTTGCTATTGGTTACATATTCATGAACGGGTGTAGGCCAGCTAAACTTGTTCCCTTACCTTACAATTTTCCGGCATCTGGAAATTGATCCATTTTATCTTTTGTGGAGTCAGGGAACCAGACTACTTGAACATTTTTGTTTTTCTTGGTTTTTCAAGCATTTTTGAACAAAAAACTTCAAACATGTCAGTGTAACAAAATTTGATCTATTATACTAACCCCCCAAATAGTTTATTTCTGAAAATTACAGCAAAAGCCAATGGTGTACATTCCCTTTAAAGGCCAATTTACGCATACGCAAAATCGCGCGATAACGCACGTTTTTATAAAATACACACAAACAAAGGAGTGTGTCTATGTTTTTGATAAAATTCTAAGTGATTTTGTAGCACGACACAAAATGTTCATATTTCACATTGACCCTGGGCCTGAAAAGTTATTTATAAAAGATTGCGTGACATATCGCATATTTGTTCACACACAAGCAACTGCGACATTGCCACGTGCCAAAGGTGTCACGACAATATCGCGTATGTGCAAATAGGCCTTTTCAGTGCTTGCTCCGACTTCTGTTGGACTTTTTTTTTAAGAGTGTACCTGAAAAATTGGCTTCCTCAAATTTGGCTTTATTTTTCAATCTTTCAAGTCAGAATCATTAACCCTAACCTTCCTAACTCAATCAAAATCCATCACCCCATTTTGGTAGGCACGCCATGAGTACAATTTTTATCAAAGTCCATCAAAAGCCACCTACATGTATTGTAATGTTGGATTTCGGCTGATTTGGTCCTAAAGCATTCTGTGAACCAGAGTCAGTGATGGATTTTGAAAGACTTGGTTCTGTTCTTAGTAAAACCCGGTAGGGTGTTAAAGTTAAGAAGTTTTTTTTCTACGAAAATGACAAATAAATCAAGATCTATCTTGTCACATGTAATTTGACTCAATTTTGAAGATCAAAAACCAAAGACAGTTGGGTTTATTCGAGGTTAGCTTTGTCATCTACAATCGGGCATTTAATATGAATAACCTTAAAAGTGTTCCAAGGTTTAGATGGGCTTGCATGGGTAAAACTTTATTTTTTGTCATTTTGAAGCCCAATCATATAGGTTTCAACATTTCATAGTTTCTGCCGAATAAACCCGGAGTTAATTCAAATAAGAAAATACTCATAGCTGATTCTTATCTATCCAGTTTTATTCATCTACAAAACGATGCTATTTCTAAATAGTTAATTACTAAGTTGCAGTCGTCCAACTTTCGTCACAAGTCATCACAGATGGAATCACAAGTCATCACAGATAGAATCACAAGGCAAGTCACAAGTAATGAGCAGTGAGAAATGAATCACAGTTCATTTGAATAGCTTGCGACTTGTGATTGCTTCGTTAAGACTTGACAACTCTAGTAAATTGCCAAAATTTTACACTCGTTATACATTGCAGCTTGTTTTAATAAATACATTTTCAAAAAAGAAATTCGATAGAACGATGCAGTTTATTAAATACCATGCATTAGTTTTTAAGTTAAATGTATATATACTTGTACAAATTGTAAATTCAAATTTTGTACTATTTTAGTGGTCATTTCTCTTTGGGTTAAATAGGATTAATACAATTTGTCTCAAAGAGTTACAACTGACAAAACTGTTCATGGCTGAGTTTCTTACTTGTATTTCCCAGAGTTGTAGTCAAGACTTCATAAGTCATCACAAGCCAATGACAAGGTCACTCTCAAGTCGTGTCCCAACTATTTAAATGACAAAGGCAAGGCATTCTTTTTTTATAGATTGATTGCGTTCAACAGCCATCTTAAAGGTGTGTTTTATTTTAATTCATTTGCGATGAATGCACTAGAGATCAACTCATGCACGGATCCTCTACACAAAGATAAACAACTCATCTGAGCTTGTGTACAAAACGTACGGAACGGATTGTCTACATGCGTGATATGCCGCGTCCGCGCATAGAACATGTAGAACAATGCGCATGCGCCATGATCGCTGACAGCTGGGGCCAATTTCACGGCGCTGCTAAGCACAAAAATTTGCTTAGCACAACAACAAGTATGGCTTATAAAAGCAGGTTATCAGCCAAAACTCCACGTGATGCATATTGCTCGTGATTAGTATTCAACTGTTGTTTGCTTAGCATGAAAATCACACGGAGTTTTGGCTGGTAACCTGGGCCCAATTTCATAGAGCTGCTTAAGCAAAAAATTTGCTTAAGCACAAAAAAACATTGCTTAGTAAAATTAGGTTACTGGCCAAAACTCCATGTGATGTACATTGCTTGTGACTGGTATTTAGCTGTTGTTTACTTAGCATAACAATCGCATGGAGTTTTGGCCGGTAACCTGATTTTATTCAGCAAGACTTTTTTGTGCTTAAGCAAATTGTGTGTGTAAGCAGCTCTATGAAATTGGCCTCTGCTGATATAAGGCCAAAAAAAAAGTCTCCGGTTTCTGGTATGCGCGCGCGTCGCCGTAGCCATGCGCGTCGGCAAAATGAAAAAGTTTTTTTTTCAATTAAAGATGATGTCTCAAAACCGCCAAACTCACTGGTTTGACTGGAATCCTGCTGCTGCACAATTTTGACGTGTTTTTAGATTGGGTTATGGTCGAGAATAAGCTTTATGTGGCCTCTCTGGACTCCCATATATTTGCACTAAGATTAGTCGGGCACCATTTGCAGTCATCAGCCGACATTTGAAGCAAAAAAATCAGGTAAAAAAAAAAAAAGCCGCGTCGCCGCACCACTTTTTGGGCAAGCTCCATACGAGAAACCGGAGACTTTTTTTTTTTGGCCTAAGCCAGACTTTTTTTGTGCTAAGCAACTTTTTGTGCTTAGCAGCGCCGTGAATTTGGGCCCAGGTGTCCTGAAAGAAATTTGACCGCTGAAGGACTGCAGTCACGTGCTGAGTCTCGCACACACCCATGCAAGACATGCAAGCGCCCGCACGATGTGCAAGTGCCGTATCATGCTTCTAACCAGAAACTTGGGGAAGTCGTTTATCCTTCTGTAGAGGATCCGTGATTCATGCGTATCCCTGTTGAACAAAAAGCACACACCCCAAAGATGGCGGCAGTGCAAACAGTCTATTGTTTGCTCCCGGCTTGTGACAAGATTTGTGATTTGACTTGTGATTGCCTTGTGATTGCCTTGTGATGTGACTTATGATGGTTTTGACTACAACGCTGGGGTGTGTCTGATTGGATGAGATCCTGCTATACCGTTCTTCTAGCTCAAACCAGCAAGAAGTTAAAAAGCCATAAATAAATAGACAGATCCGGACATGCGATCACTTGTCACTCACAAGGCCCTTTCAATGGGGAAACCATTGTGCAAACTATTGTACTTACAAATGCCTTGTGACGAATTATCTGAACAATAGCTAGCACTATGCATTCGCCATTGAAGGGGGCCTTCGTGATTGAAATGATAACATGGATTGGTCTACATTCAGTATGAAAATATTTAAGTTTGAAATACATGTAGTAGAACTACAAAATTCTTTGTGCATATGTACAAGCAATAGGATTAACAGGACTTAATTCAAGTTTACCAAAAAAATACCATTGCAGTCTAAAACAAACAGACTGTCATCATTATTCCGTCTATGGCTCTGCTTGCAAGGTGTACATAGCGCCCTCTGTTGGCGGTGCATGGACCAGATTCCGAGTGTTACCATCGCCAACTTGAATGTCAAGTGCTTGGATGATTTCCGTGACCACATTCATGAGGTCACTCACATCGGATGTTTCTCCATCTAGGGGTGGCACCCCTGGGTACAGCTCACACTGGCTAGCATCTGCTGCGAAGCAAGTTTCATGCTGCTGCAATCCGGGGGGACCACTCCCAAGTTTCAGCTGTGGTGACATGTTGCGCTCGTCACATGATATGCTTCGCTTTCCATAAGCCTGCGGTGAAGCCGAATGGTAGACCTCCCCATCTTGGTTGTCTGCCTGAGTTGCCATGGAAAAGGCAGAGTGATACTGCTCATCTTCCACACTTCTTGGCTCCACCAGCTGGATGAGATCTTGAGATGTGACACTGCTGAAATTTTCCTCCATTTCTTGCACGCTGAAGCCAAATTGCGTTGCCATGTTTTCCTGATCTCCATGGAGAGCTCCCTGCAAACCATAAGAAGACTGTCCGGAGTGACCTCCTAGTTGCTTCTCGTTATTGTAGTGAGATTCCACCTGCTCTGGATAGTAGCTGCCGGACGCCCTGCCAGTGCCTCCAGATCCAATATTACTGAAATTGAGATTATGATCCGGTTCAAGATTCTGGGGAAAACGAGTTCCATCCAGGTCGTTTTCGACCTGCAAAACCTCAACTTCTCCATGATGACCCAAACTCTCTTCACCAGCTCCATCTGCAACTTGATTAGGTCCTGGACTGGAAGCCTTCGCGTGGTTGAAAAGGCCTTCATCATCGGAAGAACTGTGAGAACAATTTCCTCCTGCATCATCACCTGGACAGAAATCTTCCTTAGTTTCCGTTTTTGGGTGTTGGGAGACGGCATCTTCTTTATCCTGTGACTCGTCCCTTCTTCCATCCTCATCCTGTCTGGTTTCTTCCTGTTCCATCTTGCCGTTTGGGTAAATCCCCAGCACCGCATCCACAACAGATGCTGCGATGATGGGAATTACCCGGAAAATTTCCACCTTCATCTTTTCCATGCACATGTGGATCAGGTCGCTGCGTATCGTGCCCATTTCTCCGGAAGAGAAGTTGCCAGACCTCACCTCATGGCGCCTGGGTTTTGGGGTAAGTATGGGTTTCTTGGCAAAGTGGGAAAAAGTTGGGGTGTTGAGATGCAACTCTGGTTTTGAATCACTTGTAGTAGTGGCATCACGACTAGGAGAGAACTCTCTCCTAGTAAACTTTGAAGACGTAGAATGTTGCTGGAGTTGTGGTGAGGGATCTTCATCTTGAAATTTCGAAAGAGAAGCTACTTTGCGAACTTTCCTTAACTGTTTCTCGTGAGCTGAACCCTCCATGTGTTGCTTCATTGGGGCTGGCCCAGAGAAGTTTTTACTGCAGACCTTGCAGTAATAGTAATGACCAGATTCATTAGCCCTACCAGGACTGTCGTAATCTTGGGGGCCTGTTGATGAAGGAGAACTCGCTCCTGAATGGCTGGCTCCAGGATTTAGAGGCGGAGCTTCGTCTGTAGCTGCTTCCTCACTGGTTGAGGGAGATGAAGACCGGTTCCGTCTGGCTCCAGCTGGTCGTGGTCGGCTGTAGTCGACTCTTTTCTTGTGCTTCTTACCGGCGTAGTGTGACACTGCGTGACTCTCTGAGGTGAAGCTGACTTCACAAGTCCTGCAGAACGTATTTTCCATCGTTGCTGTGATGTTTTGAAGATTGCTGAATTAAAAGCAGACAGGAGAATTTTGCCAGTTTTAAATGAAAAATCCCCTTTTTAATGGCAAAACTGTTTATTTGCTTTGAACATACAAGTGTTCCCCCCCCCCAAAAAAAACCCCCGAACCCTCAAAGCATCCTCTTTGTCACATAAGAAGTGAACTAAACAGTCCTTTTCAGGACTACTCTTTCTTCCAAAAAGATAAATGACCATTGAGTGAAAAATAAAAGGACCAAATAAAGAAGAAAGATTAAAAAATTAAGAAAGCAAAAACTACCCGCACCCTAAGGCCCCAATGCATTACATTCCTAATAAAAGACAATTCAGACTAGACAAAATGAAAACTTGGCACTGTTTTTTTTTTATTTGCCATAACTCAATAAATATTTACCTGATTGGAAAGATTTTCTCATTGTTGAATATACTTTACAATACGTAGGCCTATCGTTAGTTGTGATGTATTTTTTTTTTAAGATGTGAAAAGAGGACGATTTGAGGTTTTTGGGTATTTTTAGGGGGGGGGGGGCACTGTACTGAAGAATACATTTCTTGTGTAGGCTGGTTGAAAAGTCAGAGCTTTTGAAATTCTTCCAACTGTATTAAGATGCAAAAACATCAAAATCAATTTGGAACCCACATGCAATTTTTGCAATCCTGTTAGAGGAATATTTATAGTAATTCAAAAAAGTATTTCAAATGTCACTGTGAGTAGATTTTGAGGACAGTGCGGATGATCACAGGGATAAGCAACTGTCCAAGTCGATTGTCATACAATATATTTCTTACAATAATAGTATACGCAAAGTATATTGAGAAAGCCCAGCTCCAATGCTCATCAGGAATTTCTGATGAGCATTTGAGCTGGAGCTACATTCATGATTAAGTTTTGCAAACACTCAGGAATTTGGTAGAAAGTCATGCATAATTATACTTACACCACTAAATTGCTGTAGTCCGTCAAATCTCGTAGTAGTTGTGTTTCATCGGGTTGTCCACTTACTATGTATTTCAAGATCGTAACATCAAGTAAAAAAGGCTACATGAACTTTATGAAGTTACTGTTGCGATCGTGAGCGGTCGAAATTTCCTATTCCAACCGGAGCAACATTGACAAAAAGGTGCGGCTCTATGCACTCACACATTCATAGCGATCACCATAGAGTTTCATGCGGTCACACACGGTGTCGGTGTATTTGACGACTTGATTTACTATTTTTCTAAAACAATGGTCTTTGCGATAGAATTTTAACAACTAATGATCCAGGGTTAGCTTTTACTTCGGTTTTTGTGCGCTGTGAAATGTTCGAAGCCTTCGATTGAGCGCGTATGACTACATGTATATGACTCAGTCTGGGGGAATTCCCCTAGCACGCAATGTATACATAGCGCCGCTTGTTTTGATGTCATGTTTTATTGCACAATACATGCGGGGAAGTTTGCAATCACGCAACGCAGCTGTGAGAAATAACAGATGTTTCTAGAAATTGTTTGGGAGAACTAGGAAGGCAAGGGATGGGAAACATCAAGAAAAGGAGAATGTTTCTGATTTCCACGTCTCTCGGACGTTTTGGTTCGTTACAAAACGAGGGTAGGGGAGGGGGCACTTGAACATTGTTGGAGCTATCGGAGGCAGTCGGGGCACTTGATATGTCGGCGATCGTAGCCCTAGGGCCCCCTCTTTAGTTTTGATTAAATTAGAGTCAAGGGTGTTTTTATCGTTCAAAAATGACCTTTTCAAACTAAAGCAGGCTTCTCTCGATTCTAATGACACTTTTGTTGTAATTTTTAACAGTTTCTTGAGGTAAAAATTGCGATTTTCGTATACGCGGTTTGCGGTTGGTGCCGTGCTTTTGCGGTGTTAATGTTGCGCGTTCACGGTACATCGCGGTGATCGCCATCTCTATTTTCGTGTTTGCGTGTTTGTCAAGTCATTGTCACTTTATCCCCAAATTTCCCTCATAAATTCCAAACCCTGCCCTTTCTATGACATAACTGTTTGTTCTTAATGTAATAAACAAGTTTGGTAAATCAAATGAATCACGGTGGAAGGGACACAAACTGGACTTTGTTCTCTTAAATTTTGGAGGAGGGAGTCGAGTTCCTGCATGCATATTCATGACATTGCTTTGGAAGCGAAATGAGAACAATGACGTGGTCACTTCTTCAGCTCGCTATGAAAATTTATTGCTTGAAACATGGTTAAAATATAAAATTATTAGACAATTGCTTTAAACCTCAAGATGTATAAATAAATTCTGTTACATGTACTACGTCAGATCCGCCGGTTGGTTCTTTTGATGATCTATTGGTGCTTTTTTTCCAGCGCACATAAATCATCAAATCTTGAGTGTGGCTTACACATTACGTAATGATAATTTTTGGTACATTAAAAAAAATTGTACTCGCTAACAACTTTTTTGGCTTAAATTTCATAAGTTTAGTGTCTCCTGTTTCCGTGGAAATACCGTAGTTTCATGTCCCCAGGCTCGACGCGCGGTTTTTCCGAGGCGGTTGCTTTATAGTCTGGTTCATCACTTCTTGCATTATCGGGACCAGATTTTGGACCACTGTTGCTATGGTAACATGTACCTTCTTCTTCTTCTTCTTCTTCTTCGGGACTGTCAAAGATGTCTTCTGGATTCTGGAATTCTGGGATGGCCTTGGCGACCAGGTATCTCTCCCAGTCCCGTTGAGATCTTGTGGTGATTTCACGCAGCATCGTGTCTTCATTCCTTGACATGTTCCCGCCGTCAACGTCTTCTCCGCCAGATCCTTGGGTCTCGTGATGTTGTTTTGATGGGGCGTCCTGCTCGTCCTGCTCAATTTCTGGGCGATCACTGTCTACGCCACTCGGTGAGGCGTCTCTGATCCTAGTCTCCGGGCGTTGAGCTTTATCTTCGGCCATTCCTGAACAAAGTCCTGTTCTGCCTACGTGTTTACGTCTTCAACTTCTAGCAGAGGTTATGTTCATGATTCCTGGAAGTCATCTGGGCAAAGTTCGAACAGTTTTAACACGCCAGCAGAAATGTTATCCGCCCTTTAACAACATACACGCTGTTTGCATTCACGAGGGCTGTTCGGGTCAACTTCAAGTTGAAATCATCGGTAGGCGTCAAAGGTTATCAAACGGCATCTGCAAAATTGAACACGAATGATAAAATTGGAAAATTCTCAGGCCTTTTACCGATGTTAAATTACGAACGTCTCAAAAATTCGTTTTTAAGTTAAAAACAGGCCGATATCAACAGCACGAGGTGAGCGCAGAAAATGCCATGGTGATAAGACTTTGAACGCGCGCGTCACAGACGCACATCAAGACGCGTCTGCTGTGCGTTCATAGTGAGGCTAGTTGTTACAGGCACTTTTGTTGCCCCCTCTCATCTAAACAAACTTATGGAATACTTGCCAGCGGAGGTACTAGAAGGAGGCTTCGCTCATTCTCGACATTTATCATATCTTATAGAAGTTTGGATTCGGGGTATTTTGAGCTGGGGGGGGGGGGGGGCTGCCCCAATGGATATCATGCCATTATAAAAACTTACCAATTTGGAAGAATCATGCAGTACTTTAATAGTGGCAACTCGTCTGTCGACACGGTCCGTCTGCATGGAACCCTCTTGTTTATACTGAATTATCCGTAAGACTTTTTTGCGACTTCATACAATTTTTATGCACCATGGTATTACTCACATTTGTAGCTGAAACATTTTGGTTTAAAACGATTGCGAAATCGACAAGCAAGTTGATTTTATGTATCAGTGTGGGATGCAACCATAACTTGACACCCCAAAATCTGTGTGACATTTAAAAAAAAAATGACATACCCATAGGCCCACTGAGTCAAATCACAAGCAAGCAGACTTTGGCTTTCCGACACAGGAAATATGGTTAAATAGCTTTTGTGATTTCTCACTGAGGGGGAATCCACCCACATTGTTATTTCGTGGACAACCTTTGAAATCGCTGTAGTGTTTGTTTGGTCATGTTTGAACGCGAACCCTTTGTATATGTTACGGGATTCAGGGATATGAAGATATTATTGGGGTGTTGTTATGTTTTTATAAGTACCCTTGGCAAGTTGGAACACGACTGGCACATATCAACATTTTATGCAGTTAATTTTTTTCATAAAAAGTGTATCAAATCCATGACATAAAAAAACACAGATATTTTGGGGTACAAACCATTTCGCGGGAGTTCATTAATATTTTGTGATCCCACAGGGTAATTTGAATGAAAGGTCCTTGCCAGTGGCGTAGCCGGTTGGGGGGGGGGGGGGGGGGGGGGCACGAACCCCTCCACAAATTCCCATGGCCTAAGGTGGCCCCCAACACACACAATAATTGCAGCTAGTAAGGTGTATTTTTAACGTATTTGTTTGAGTTATTAAAACGAAGGGGAATCTTGATGACTATTAATTTTGTGACTTCCTGAACCACACGGCTTTTTAACGTGAATAAATTAATAAGAAAAAGAGCGCCCTCTATCGTTAAAAGAAGTCCCCCTCCTCCCCGCTTTTCGAATTTGCCGCATTTTGTGGTGGCCTGGAAATTTTGCAGAAGTCGTTGGGTCCTTCCTTGGTGCCCCCCTCATGCTGCCCCCCGTAACCCCCCCCCCCCCCGAAAAAAAACTGATCCTGGCTACGCCACTGGTCCTTGGGGCTCATAATGGGACATTATTTAGAATATTTCTGGAGATCAAGCATTTTGATTCGTGGTTTCCAACTCGGGGGATTATGTTCACAAAAAAACCTAACTTCTGGACATATTTTGCATAGAGGCGGACGGGGGGGGGGGGGGGGGGGGCTAGACCTGGGCCCAGAGAGAAGCCGTTTTAGGGTTTGGTGGCCGGAGGATAAAAAACAATGATACGGCTATCTCTGGTGAATTGGAAAAGAAAATTGTCCTAGATTTCGTAACCTTTATTTTCCCAGTGAAAACGCACTGCCACCTTGCTCCTGGCCTGAGCGCCACCGGCCAGGCGGCGCTTTTTCCGTCCGATTTTGTGTTTAGTTTTCATGAATATAGAGAGCCGGTCGAGTGTTATTGTGCCCTCTGTTGTCCAGATGCAGTAAGTGCCCGTATTTTCAGATTGTCAATAATATGTTACACACATTTTTGTCATAATTTTATGGGAGAGAAAAACTCAACATTTCTATGTAAATTTTTTTTTTTTCGCACCATTTTAATAAAAAAAACCATATCTAGAAATATTTGTAATAATTGTGACAATATTTGTATCAATCAAAATCGCACGCGCCATATTCACCTGCCGTGCGGTAGTCTGACGCGCAGAACTTTTCACCGTTCAATATCCATGTGCATTATTGGGGTTCGAGTCAGTGGCCAGACATAAGATAAGCAACCTCGTTTTATAGTGAGCGCTACCATCGGATTTTTGTGTTGCAATAATACACTATTTAACGAAATGGACTAGTACCCTGGGTACGTTGTAGAACGAATTGCACTTTGCGGATTAGGACATCGACAGTACGCGATCCGCGCCCGCGGTGCGCAATAAATAACGTAAACAACGCCCATGTTAATTTTCGTGGAACCCACTGACACCGGCCGGGAAACTGCCCAACGGATGCAGACGAAAACCCACCGATACTGGTGTTTTTGAGAAAGGAATCTGCAGTTGGATGCTATTTTCTCGAAGGCCAGGAATTGAAGGGCATCCTGAAGCCACAAAGAAGGTAAATCACTGTCCAAAAATTTGACATTTTTCTGGTGAATATTTCGGGTCAGTGTGTGAACGTCGCTAAGTGATTTTTTTGGGGGGTGGCGCTGTTTACCATGTTTACCGCTCGAGCTAGCTGCAGTGCATGTCACTTGATTTCATAAATAAATACAAACAGACCCCAACTTCCCCGAAGGAAAGAGTACATACCTGGACATCACTTGACAGTATGACACCCTGTGCGCAAATCGTATGAAAAATTCCAAGTGTTTTGTCAGTCACTAAATCATGCTTCAAATAGTTCAATATTTCCCCTGCTAAATTTAACTATTAATTTTACTATTATTACTTTTAGGACACTTTAATTTATTGCTTTCTGATCACTTGCTGGGAACACCTGCTGATGGCTGGTCATAGTGCAGGGGAAAATTAATGATGTCCATGTGTATTAATTCTTCCCCTACAAAATCCTCCACCATTATTTCTTGAATGTGGTCCATAAGGCTGGGTGACTGCACTGCCTCATGATCCTGCAAAATCCACCAGCAATCATTGTCAATAATTGTGGAGAATTTCAAGCAGGCCTACAAATGTACAATCTAGGCCTAAATTTGTGCAATTTGTGCATGGCTGCCCATCGCCTGAGCATAAGCAACAAGGTCCGGCCCAAGAACTTGAAATAGTGCATCCTCCAAAATGAGCCCCACATTTTTGTCCATATTCTCAGTCCTGCAAAATCGTCCATTTTGCAAAGATGATAAATTTGGGAAGGTTTGGGTAAATGATATCTCCAACATTTTACACTGCAGGCCAATCACATAATTCTGTAAAACATTTCTTTGCTTTCTGTAAGTTTCATTTTCATTGTTTTTCATCCTGTGACTTTTTGAAAGGAAGTAATCTAAACAAATACAGGAAATTATTAGGAGTGCAACAAGGGAATATTGGTTTGCATTTTGTTGGTCCTTGATATAAAATAATCACTAGCAAATCTGTGCTGTGCATGGTTGTTCGAAAACAGAAAGAAGAAGACTCAAGTTTGATTTTTTTTTTCGGAGCTGACATACATGTACACCAGTTTCGTATTTTTTCTGTTCTTAAGCCAGCAGATCATAAAAAAGTAAGAATTGTCTTCTTTTACTATTTTAAATCGAATCCTACATTTACATGTACTTCCAGATTATGTTATCTTCGTTTTCTGATTCGTGGCTCTGGAGGATTATTTTTAAAGGAAAATAAAGTCTGAAATTTAAGTCTGATTCCCATCACTGTAACACAAAGTCACAACAACATTGTTAGCGGGAACCAGATGAAGATTTGTCACAAAAAAAATTGCCCCAAAAATTTCACTGTGCATGTGATGTGCTGGTACAATACTGAAAACAATAAAGGGACCGGGAAATATTTCCATATATACGAAGTTCACACAACACCCTGTGTACAAACCCTATGAGATTGGACTGAAAAAAGTGTTTTCTAAGAAAATGCTTGTATTTTCTCAATGCTCAAATTGACTTTGATGACATGAAATTGCTATCTGGGGGCTTGTTAGTCAATACAGAGGAAAATTAGTGAACTTCGTATATGGAAATCTTTCCAAGGGACCGGTTCGTGGTCAAATATCCACTGCCATATGTTTATAGTGGAATCCTACGACCAAAATTTGGAAGCTTTTACTTTGGCGGTGTCTGGCTCACTGCTGCACCCATTCTTAAAGACGAAGGGCATGCACATTTTGGTATTCCGATTGGTTGAAGGAGCCCAGAGTGCGACTGGCATTGAACCTGGTGCCACAGCAGAAAATGGCTGCCACCAGATTTGTAGATTCTAAGGAAAGATTTCCATACTATACGAAGTTCACTAATTTTCCTCTGTATTGACTAACAAGCCCCAGATAGCAATTTCATGTCATCAAAGTCAATTTGAGCAGTGAGAAAATACAAGCATTTTCTTAGAAAACACTTAAAATTTTTCGGTCCAATCTCATAGGGTTTGTACACAGGGTGTTGAGTGAACTTCGTATATATATGGAAATCTTTCCGATTCTAAGAGCAAGATAAAAGAAATTGGCCGTAGAAACTCGTGACTTTACTGTGTTTTATAAGTGAATTCACTACTCTCTGTGGTTTCAAAGTTTGTGGCTCTTTGGATAAAACTTTTCCAGAAGCCTTTATCAAGGTAATCGTTGTTATTGCTAATTGGATATTTCACAATTATCTTGTT